TGTATTCATCGGTTGGTTGTTCAACATAGGCATCCGATGAAGATTTTAATATCGTTGGTGATATTAGACGAAAAGCTACTAACCAACTGCATTTTGGGTCCTTTCTGTTCTAACCTCTTAAACTCGGTTAATGTATGAGTTGTTAGTCGTTGAGAATTTAATTAGCTGTCCACCAGATGACATAAAACATTTATGCGCCTCTTTAAAATGACTGAGTGTATACTTCTATAGTCACATGAATTTCCAGGTCCCGGTTTCAATAACCGTTTTTCAACACTCTCTTAAATGTTATTTGCTTATGGTTGATGATGGAGATGTCAGTCATATGTGTTTGTTGAGCGATTAATCTTTTTAATCGTCACTGTACATTTTATAGCTCCCGTGACTTCGCAGTCGACGAGAACTTAGCGTTGATGCTTATGGAAAAACAAGAGATTCCTGATTTCTACTGTCCCTCTGCTCTGTACACTCGCATGGATATTTTGTACTTACCCTTATTTTTGGGCATGCGAAGCTATTAGTAGCCTTCTGTCTAAACATCGAAAATATCAAACTATTATTTGAGAATACCACAGACGGGCAATTACCCAAAATTAAAATCTATTGGCAGCAATTCCAATCTTGAACAGCTTGCTCTTGATAATCATTATTCATTAGTCATAATTGAACAACTAGGTCTGGAATTAATATTGAAAATGGAAAGAAGTTGTACTTTCGTTTGATGCAGCATTAACGCTAAGTAAATCCATTTTTCTTGCTTCAAACACACGAGTTCACCGGTTATATGTTGTTCACTAACCAGTTCTTAAGAATTAGTATAGTCTGTTCATCATATTAGGGTAAGCTAGGGTAGACAATCATTAGTTATGTCACCTCAGCATAGAGTGGCATGAGTTAAGTAGTTACATCATGCCTAATAAAATATGATAAGACATGACTATTAATCGAGTAAAACAATTATTTTCCATGCAAATTACAACAGACAGAACATATTCTGTAACCTCTAGGATAAAAACTCTTCAAACAATCACTTCTGGCGTTAAGAGCAAGACAGCTGATCGATAATTGGGAGGAGGAAACTGCACATAACTTAATAAAAGACTGCGACAAAACAAAATTGCAAATGCTTACGGACTATGTTTTTCTCAGTAGCACCATAACCTTGTTATGAGGTTAGTACAAATCAGTGTATCTGGTCAATAAAATTCTTGAATTTGACAAAAATGTCTACTCGGTAACCAAATTGAATATGATATGGTGCATAAGCTAAACTCTGATGAATGCCTAACGCTTATGCAGATCATGAGCTAAAGTACCTTATGTGATTTAGTGCATTTGAACGGGCATTTTTATACTTTTTATTGGTTCACCAAAGACACTGACTGGAGAAGGGCCAAACAGTAATTCTAAAAAATAGAATAATTTGCAAGGTTGTTTTCCTAATTCATCTAAATGACTCACCACTTCATTATTCTACCACGATGACTTTGCAAGCGTCAACAATGAACCAACCACCAACCATAAACCAAATCCGATGTGTACTCACCGACTAATGGTAAAATAGTAACTCCGCACAACCGAATAGGAACCGATGGTTTCAGTTGCAACAGATAAAATAGTAAAATCGCAATGTGGATGTTCTTTTCACAATATAGGACAATCTTAGTCAGTTGATGATTCACACCGTACAGTGTAATAATCTGTTCCACGGGCCGCATGTGCGAATGACAATTATTTAAAATCAGTCTCTTGTTTCTAAAGAGCCGTATTGGGTATTCTTCATTCTCTATTTTTATTTTTTTAATTATTTAAACACATAAATATTGGTACAAGGGGGCACCAAATATATATGCGCCACACTTCATTCTCTAAACGCCATACCATTGAACTATAAAACTTCAATAATGTACCAGAGCAGACAGGTTGATCAACAAACCTGGAAACTCACTAAAACTCTTATTTGATGCTTACCATAGGAGTCTTATTTTACCACAAATAATATTGACACTGCGTTTTCCGACTTATACCACAACCTGATATATTTCCTTGACTGCGTTGCCCCAATTATCGGCAATGTGCCTTATAACGCTGATATGGGCCATAACGGTTTTAAAACCTTTAAGAGAAAGCTGAGAATGTTGAAACACCTCTATCACAAGCATGATGACGTGTGTGTACTTCAGAGTATACTTAACCCGATCAACAGAACTGATTCATCTAAATGCAAGTATCTTATGACTATTGAGAATAAAGCCCTGGGTAGTAGAAGCCCAGAGTTATCAATACTCAGGCTTTTCAAATCTTGTATGAAATCTAATTGTCTTAGCACAACAAAATTCTTCATAGTTGACGGATGTATTGTTGACGACCCTGATTCTGTTTGCGAACCATACAGCCAACATTTTCTCGAAATGCTACAGCACTGAAACAGAAATCTTTATTAATGCGTTTCCACTGTTGACGTCCAGATATATATCCTAAATTGATTTCACATCCACAAACATCAAGTAGACCATAGCTGTCCTGAAAAATTCGTATGATGGTGAACCTGATGGGATTCCTTCATCGTTTGAGAATTCTTATTATTTTGTTTAAAACTTTTCAACCTATTTATGGAATATAGAGCCTATCCGTCTGTACGGGAAACATATCACCTCTATATTCAAAACGGGACCTTGTAGTGATACTGCTAACTAAAGGCCCATTAACACGACGTCCGTGTTATCAAGAACCATGGGGAAAATCACCCACAAACAGCTATTATCATTTTTACTTACGGCTAACCCGATTAGCCCATTCCAACACTGGTCTATAACCAAACGCTTATATCTCACATCGCACTTGAAATTTTTCAGCAAATTACTCAGAGGTGAGATGTTGATCAGTTTGTGATAATTCTGTACTTTGAGCATCAGTACAACTCCCTGTGCATGAGGTATTTTCTTTGTAATAAGAATACCGAAACGCCCCTCTTGAAGTCAGTATTTTTTACCCACATTACGTCCGACGAGTCTCGTCTAGCTTTAACACTGACAGACTCATTTCCACAGCCACTTGAATGACCCGTTAATTTCGCACATTGTTCAGATATTCCTTAATTAGTGATCTGGTTTTAAGAAGGGTGATTGGTTTCATGGTTCATGAAGAACCTCGGCTTTTCCACGGGGAGTTATAACCCTTCTCTATGAAGACCATTCGAACTTCAGAACATAATTTGAGGGGTTTTACTGGTTTGTGCTGTTTCACGATTTTTGGTAAGGTTCTTCCATAACACTAATTTTTTACCTAACCCTCCTCCTTTATGAGGGCTTATGATAGGAAATAACCTTAGACAAATGCAGTGGGAATCTGGAGGCCACAAGTCTGTATTAAAGGGGGTTCCTGTTAAAGTGAACCTTGACAGTAATGAAGAAAGGAAGTCTTTATAAAAGGGACTGTATTAATTGTTTATTTGAATATTAACGTTGTCAATTTATGCTTCAGAAACAGCTAACAATTATTAAGTCGAATGGCTTATTTGTTTTGGCGTAGGCCAAGTTAAGTCTTTTTTCAGTAGTTTAGGGATTTGTTCGAAATAGTACCTGCAGGAAATTGCTTCCCACAATTACCACTCAGTGATCGGTCAACACAAATACCTCAGTTCTATAAGTCGTGAGCCACAAACGGTGTAGCCCGTTGGTGATGCCTCTGATTGTGATACACAACGCCTCAGGTCCTAATCTCTGTGGAATCATTCTTTAATCTAAGATTATAGACATGCTTTGCTGATCAACAAGAAATATATGTCATAGGGTTTCTGGTAATTGGGACTAAACATCGTACACGACGTGATTAGTTATTTTACAACGTTCCACTTTCTAGACACTAACCGACTTTTTTGTTATTTCCTTGTTAAGTATTCTGTCATCCTAACCATTATTATAAAATCCTTAGGATTCAAACGAAAACTGTGAGATCATTCTGAATTATTGCCTTTAAAAAAAATCTTGGAAACATCTCGCTGAATAATTAACAAACCACTATGCCTAAACACATAAAAACCTAATTTTAAGCACTAATAAGTGTGTAGCGCTAAATAAATCCTCAAAATGAACAGTTCTGTAGGTCTTCCATGTTGTTGCTGACCTCAATAGTCATACTGGACACATCCTAGCTGAAAAAACTCAGTCACGTATCCACACCAGATTACGAGTGGGTTTGCCGTGCTACGCATCCACTGCAACTGCCGGCAGCTTGAACCGAACGTTTCTTGACATATCGATGGCTTTCCAAACATATCTTAGAATCCATTCATATCTGACCTTGGATTTGACTGGGTTGATATCCTTCGATTATGAGAGAGTTACATGTAAAGGCATCGTCAAACTCCAAATACCTGTGGCATTTTAAATAGTACGGATTTCCTTTAGTTCACTGATAACACCGAATTTTTGCTCTGTAGATAAAAGCGATAAACTATTACAATCTTAGGCGAAGTACATTTTCTTTTTTAAACCATACTCAGTTCCTCCAAGAGCCATAAAATGACACTTTGCACAGGTGCGTCACATTTAGGTGATAGTTTTCAATAGCATTCAACGAGATATCATAGTGTGCTTCGGCCTAGCGAGGTTTATGCAGAATATATACCAGATCTGCCCAACTCGATGTGAGTTTTAAAAGACATAACATGATGAGTCTATGATTTCTTCACTTTTTGGTAAATGGAATTAGTAGACATCAAGTACACACCTGTAGACCATGCTTAAGAGTGAAGTCCGACAATTAGTCGTATGTTTATCTAAGTTTAAGGTAGATTAAAACCAGGAACCTGGACTTTGCAACTAGTAATCAAGCAACCAGCTATTTCTCCAGAAAGATTGTAGATCAAGTCTTGAACAAAACATAAAGCTTCATAAATTTGTTGTTTTTAGAAGGAAAACAAAATCAATACTAAAGAAAATTTCTAATTTCACAACGCATCTAAATTGGACAATGATCAATAGTGGTGTATTTATACTATGTTTAAATCGCCGTATGCGTTGTCAGCAAACATGTCTTCGATGGACGGTGATCGTGGTGATTTTGATGATGATCATGATAGAGATGAAGGGTTTCCGGACGAAGATCCTCCGTTTCAGTCAGAAAATACCTTTTCGGATGATGGGCGGTATCAAGATGACATGCGGTATCCAGAAGATCGTTATCCAGATGATTCCCCTGTGCATAAGCATGATGACCGTTACCCAGGTCCTGGACCTCGCCACATGAGAATGATGAGGTTAGTTTACTTTTTACATCAATCAAATCAAAATGTAATGACTTATGTTTACTGTCGGCTGATAACTGTTCTGTTTTTTTTGCAGGCCCCAATTCCGTCCAAGATTCCAGGGTGGCTACAGGGGGCACCCACGAATGCAGATGCACGGTGGCGGTCGGTATGTTGTTGTGCTTATGAGGATTTTTGTTTTAGAGGGAATTTTATGCGATCAGGAATGGGTCCACATCGTGGTCCTCAATATGATGGTTACGGTCATCCAATGGGTATGAATCGAGGATACCCACCAAGATTTAGTCCACAGTATCCTGGACGTTTTCAAGGCATGAACGAAGACCAAATGGATGAACAGATGGACGAAGCACATCCTTCCGGCGACATGAACTACCCAGGTCACGGGGATATGCCGATGCCCCCTAATTCGTATTCTAATATGCAGCACATGCGCATGCGCGGTCCACCACCTCAATTCATGCCTCCTAACAAACAAATGCCTCCTGACCATCAACAACCAGGTGCTGTCCCTCCAGCGGGTTCGGGCGGACACCAGCCTTATGGCACAAATAATTCATTCAATAATCCACCTGGTTCTCATTATGGTGGGCCACAAGCACCTTACGGTGGACCTGGAGCTCCTTATTCCGGAAATCAAAACAATCAGCCTTTCGGAGCCCCATCATTCAATGGCCCTCCTGTGTCTCAGTTCGGCGGTCCTCCCTACAATGGTCCTCCAGCGTCTCAGATGGGCGATCCTGGTTCAAATCTACCATCGGGTCAGCAGTTTGCTCCACCCACAAGGCCATTTGGAGCACCTCCCGCTGGTCCCTTCCCTGTTCCTCCAACCGCTCCTTATGGCGGCCCTGGACCTAACTCTCAACCTGCTGGGTCTTACAATGGCCCTTCACAATTTCCTGGAACACCAACCGGACCTCAAGGTGCTACGTCGCAGGGCACTACTTCAAATGTTCAAAACAATCTGCCACCAACTCTAGCCAACCCACCGGTCCCCGTCGCGCCCCCAGCTGGTGCTCCTGCTCCTGTTTGCCCACAGTCTGCGACTCAGTCTCCAGCCACGCAACCGTCTGCTCAGCCTCCCGCTGCTGCATCCTCCATCCCAGTAACTCCAGTCGCGCAACCAGTTTCAAACGTTCCACCACCGTTTACCTACCCGACTCCGATTCCAACTGCTTCAGACGGTAAGTTGATCACCCAACATTCTTACATGGCTCATACGGCACTGCGTTTTTATATCTTAACTCCGTGGTAGTTATAATCCTAGTTTTAATGCGCGCTACGTTGGTTTAATGAGGTACATTTGTCTGTTTACAGGTTCACATTTTGGTCTTCCACCACCTTGTTTCCCTGCAATGCCTGCTCCACCCAGACCCATGGCTGTGCAAGCTATTCCGGGACCGGGAATGCCTCCTGGCACAACTCTACCGTGCCCAACGATGCCACCTATGCCAATGATGGGCCCTCCACCTATTCCTGGGATGCCTCCCATGCCACATCCTTTGTCTCATTTCCGTCCACCTATGCCTTTCATGCCACCTGTAATCCCCGTTAACCCTTTCCCTCCGACCATGATGCAACCTAGGATCGTCGATGACATTTGGGTCGAAAACCTTACAGCTGAGGGGAAGTCATACTATTACAACATGCGAACTCGTGAAACCCGCTGGGATAGACCTGAAGGAGTCACAGTGGTACGCCAAGGTGAAGTGGAAGGCACTATGAAGCCAGCAACAACGTTGCAAATGACTACGACATCTGTTTCGACAAGTGTTGGCACACCGTCTGTCCCTCCAGCTACTCTCACCAAACCTCCTGAGGTCGCAGTTTGGACTGAGTATCATAATCAGGATGGCAAAGCCTATTATCACAATATGAAAACAGGGGAGACAACTTGGGAGAAACCAAAGGTGTTGATTGATTGGGAAAGTAAGTTGAGATTAAAGTACATTTATTCTTTCTAGAGCAACAGTCAGAGCCAAGCAATCAAAAGACACCAGAACAACCAAGCCCTTCTACAGCAACGAAGGTAACTGCTACACCAACAACTGTCGCTATTCCTGTGAGTCAACGTTTATTGTACACCTTATTTCGATTGCTGTTATTTTAATCACATTAGGATTAAATTCAATCCCCATCTTGTTACCGCTTGCTACCAAGTCCGAATTAGGTTAAATGGATTGTATCTTAATACCGCTCTGGACATGCAGTAAACTTTTCTTTTTCTTTTCAGGCGGCTGAAATTAAAAAGACGGTTGTACCCGAATCGAATGAAAATCCTAAACCTGCGGAAACTTTAAAATCGGATGCGACTGAAAACGGAGTCGTGGAGTCGAATGAGCAAGAGGCTAAGACAGACTCAAGCAAGACCCCAAAGGATAGTAGCCGACCGGTGTCTAGCACGGCCGTCCATGGAACTCCATGGTGTGTTGTGTGGACTGGTGATGGTCGCGCATTTTTCTTCAACCCGAGTCAGCGGCTCTCTGTTTGGGAGAAACCTGATGAACTCAAAGGCCGGACAGATGTTGATCGTTTACTCGAAAAGCAACCAAATACATCATTGTCAGGCAATACTACCTCACCTCAAGCAAACTCTACCGGTAATGACAATGAATCTGAAGCAGTTGATGGAAACCCTGTCCCCAAAAGACCGCGCCTGTAAGCCTTGTTTGTATTCAATAATTTCAATCAATAAGATAGTATTTTGAAAAAAAGATGGGTTTTGCGAAAACAGTAACAGCTAGTGGTTGGGTTCGCGAAAGCCATATATATTCATTGCTTGCTTTATCTGGTTTAGTCGTGTAAAGTATCCGGACATGTAGATAGTATTTGTATTTTACGTTGTCGTATGATCTTAAGCTAGGGAAATATCGAGGTTTACTAATGTGGAAGAGTAAAAAGACAAGGGGTTTAGATTTCTTGCCACTTAGTTTCGTTGACGTTACACAAAACTATTTTTTCTCTCAGTGAAAATGACGAAATTAATGGTCCTGCAAGTGAAGTAGAAGCACCTACAGCTGTTGAACAAACAGATGAGAACGATGCAGATAAGTTAGGCAGTTCGCTGGATAAGATCCCGATTGGACTAGAAGCTGCCAAAGAAGCTGAAGAAAGGGCCGCCAGAGAAAGAGCTGTACAACCGCTGGAAGTTCGTGTACGACGGTTCAGGGAGATGCTGGTCGAAATGCAGGTATGTTGTCATTCGTTTTGATAGTTTCCTGTCTAACTACTAACCTGAATTGTGGCAGCCTAAGCCGGTGCTAAATGGTGTTACACCTTTTTAATTATGTTGACACTGCTGTCACTTTTCTGCATTGACAGCTTTTATTATCCTTTTTTAGGTTTCGGCTTTCTCCACCTGGGAGAAAGAGCTGCACAAGATTGTGTTTGACCCACGTTACCTGTTGCTTGCAAGTAAAGAAAGGAAGCAGACGTTCGAGGCCTACGTTAAAGAGCGTGCAGAAGAAGAACGACGTGAGAAAAAGAGCAAGCTCAAAGAAAAAAAAGAGAAGTTCATCGAACTTATGGATGAGGCTGGGCTAAATTCGAAGTGAGTTCTGAAATACCCCAGTCATTGCAAATCGTGATCTCTGGTAAAATTCAAAAAGCCATTTTGTATTTTTGCCCTTAAAGCACGCTAGTGTTTTCGTGTACGTATTAGACATGCCTGCAATAACTACTTTATTTTTTATTTTAACACATAGGTATAGGTACAGGGAGGCACCAAGTACATATGCGCCACACGGATCTCAATTGATTTGTGTGAGGGCTGTGATACTGCCCGGGTGCCCAAACCGAAGCAGGTGGTTTTCTAAAGGGGCCACACCCCGAGCCTTCGACCTGAACGTCTGACCCAAAAGGCAGTGGAGAATCGTGAGGAGATGTAGTCTCATGGTAGCCAGCCGGTGACCAACGATTGGTTCATTCGCCATTTGTTCCTTCAGGATACTGGAGCCAGTCCATGTGCACCATTGGTTTGGGATCCGGTTATAGCGCCGGACATTCGCTTTTCATCCTCTCATTTTCGTATACAACACCCCCGCCACGAGAAGGCAGTGAGTAGGACTTCCCTGGCAGAGGCTATATACGCATGGCCATGTGAGAGCATTTGGAGAGGGAGAGCGGACTCTCCCCACTCTCGGTCATACCAGGGCATTTGGGGGCGCAATAACTACTGGTTTGTCCCAGTTGTGAAACGACTGTATATTGATTGTTCCAAAGTAAAGACGCCACGAAACCACTATGGTGAAGAAATGTGACTGCAATCAGATTGCGTTAACGTCATTCCTTCAAACCTAACTGCCCAGCGGCAAATACTCTACCATGTCTGTATTACATTCGACATTTTATAGATGGGAAAATGTGTATATTTTCTACGTCAGCTGTAGTCAGAGTAACTGTAATGAATAGTAATGATAATGTTAATAATAGTGCACGGTCTTCATAAGTATATTTTATACTTTTTAGATCGTCGTTTGGAGATTTTGCTTCAAAGTTTTCAAAAGACGATCGCTTTAAAGCCATCGAGAAATCCCGTGATCGTGAAGCCATGTTTCAAGATTACTTAGTAGAATTGCGGAAACGTGAAAAAGAGGACAAGCATCGTGAAAAAGAAAAGGTACGTTTATTATGTATTACCACAAACTGAGTGCCTCAAATAAATTAATCCTTAGAGTCAGAGCTATTCACCTAGTATTTAATCATGTACTCAAGGCAACCCTCGACATAAAGCAGTTCTCAATTGTACATATAATGCTTAAATTGTTGGTGTTCTTTCCAGTCGTTAAGTTTTGAAGTTTGTTGGTATTTTGGATTCAATTTGGAAGGTTTTAGTCGCACGAAAATGCCGTTACATTATACTTAAATCAGTTAGTCAGCTGCAACGTAGGACCACGCACGTATATGCATCGGTCCAAGTTGCCATACCGCATTAGCACAACAAGATGATTACCGGATTCATAGAAGTAGTTAATTCAGTGGTGGTAATATATAGAAGAAAGATTGCATATAAGTTCTTTCAGTTATCTCGATATCAAACGGTGTAGTAATGGCAGTTATTAAGAGAACTGTGTCAACATCTGGAACACGTATATACAGATTGCATTAAGTCCCAACCATCTGATTTCCTACATACTGCATACTTCCGGTGAGACATATTCTTAACGATTTAATTGCTTTTTCTTCTTTGAAAGTGTAATTTACCCGATAATTTAGTTTTAAATTTCAAATTACAATCTGTGCTCGTTTTGATGTGTGACTGCGTAATGGTATGTGACTTTGTTTTCCAAATTTTAGTGAGCGTGTAAGGTTTGGTACATTTAAGATAAACGTTTTCGAACATAAATTTAGCACACAACAAATAAACTAAGTAAACTACTTTTCGGAATCCGGATTTTTTGTAGTATAATACCTTTAGTGTGCTACTGTTTTCAGACGTCAACACGTACTAATTCGGCTTGTTCACTGCAAATTTCTTTAGACATATTGGTGCTGAAAATTTGCATAAAATCCACATTATTTTGCGGTATTGTTAACAGTTTTTACATTAAAACTAATAAACTTGATTTGCTTTTCACAAAGTAAATTTGTTTTTTTGTCTGGTATGTCTACTTTTTTAATTTGTCAATTTACATTCAAGACTCCATTAGTTACTCCATTTAACGTCTTGTGTTTTCGTTTGCTCAACATTGTGAAGTAATCCAATCCAAACTACACTGAAATGTTCACTCTTTGTGCGCGTCTAATTTCGGATCTGCAATTACTTCTCTGATTTATACATGTGTAAGAATGTATCAGTATTTGCTCCTCCATTCTTGTTTCATCTTTTCTATTGTGGACACTTCGTCCAAAATGTGTAACGGACACATTTTTCTGTGTTGTGGTTCAGTCTATCAAATTTTAAAGCTATGAATAAATACATGGGTTAAACAGTCAGACAATTGTTAGCATATACATTATTGAAACAGGAGGACACTTGAATATTAGTAAGTTACGCTAATATGTATTCCAAATATCTTGGGTCATTTGCTGAAAACGTGTGTACAAAGTATCGTCACAAAATAAGACGCTAATTACTTATGGAAAATTATTTAAGGAATTTTAGGTATGAAGTTTCCTAGTTTTTTCAGTAGAAACTTATTGCAATTCTTCCTCATCACATCATCAATGGGCATGTTTAAATTGTTCTTATGCGTATACTTTGGCATATTTGTTCATCCTTTAGATCGAATGATTTCTAAAGCTTAAAATCATTTGTTGACCGTATAACTAATGTTATTAAAAAAGTTAAACGTTTCAAAACATGACACCATTAGTACGCCACTAACTAAATAACGTGAAACGGTCCCATTGAAAAGCCCTTAATGTTTTTTATAATTTCTTTTTTAATTAGAATTGTGATCAAAAATGATCAATTAGTACAAGAAAAGTGCTATCTTTAGGCATCTTTAAAGTTAATGACAAGCTTCGTAGTTTTTTCACGATTGTAGCTGGATATAATTTGGTCATTCTGGACAAAGAAGGGCATATGAGTTGGTCATTCGCACCGTTTAGTGTAAAAAAAAACTCAGTGAAATCTTTGAAAACAAATCATTAATGTTGGTATGGGATTTTTTCACATAAAGCTATGAAAAGTCATGTTTTTCGTTAAATTTCTTGAATAATAGATAGTTATCTTATCACAAAGTAAGTTTTCTATGATGAATAGTTTACAGATACTTTCTCCACTAAACTGTGCATTATTCAACGATGTTGATACAAATTACTGATTTGATAAGTTATTCACGCACGTTTAATGATCTGAAATAAGAACAAGTTGAACAATTTGCACAAAATGCACACAATAATTAAAAATGTAATCATATTTATTTGGATGCTATTATAATTTGGTACGCCTATGTGGAGCGTTCAGATATGTGTTCTGCTCCAATATTATAATTTTCCTAAAAGTGTTTTTTGTTGAGAAGAAATTAACGTGTCGCTATATCGGAACATCGTATATATCTCAGTAAAGTTATAAATTGGGGGAAGAGATTTAATACTTCACAATAATGTAGGACGTAATTTTCATTTCTTGTTAAAATTATGATCCCTGGAACTACTGGGATATGTATATCACTCTAATGTCATAACAAATTTCAGGATTTGGGCTAAAAGTAATGTAAAATGAGTAGTAACTCGTTTGGAAATTCGTATTGGCTCATTCAACAGATTGGAGATAATTATAGAAGTAAATCGACTTGAATTTGTCAGGTATATGGTTATACAGTTGATTTTGGCAGTCGTTCGCCTTATTGTTTCTAACATCAGCTAAAATTGTAAGTGATATAACATGAACCAAAACAATTTTTTGGGTTTTCATTATAACAGCTCTAAGTTGTTCCGGGTTATAAACGTCCGGATTTCAAGGGTAATCATTTTATAAATCCAATAATTAATCAGTATGAGTGTTGTGAATATATTCGAATTCTTTTAATGAATACGTTTTAAATAATCTGTAGATTCTGATCACGTACTGTGATGCTGTAATTTTAAGTAACTTGTAAATTCTTCAATCTGTTTCGTGTTCAAACTTTTATGTTGGTTTGTTTCTGTTGTAGTGGGAACTACTTACGAAATCTTAAGATGTCCATATTACTCAAATATCGTTCTCCACGCCGTTGTTAATAATAAATTGTATTTAATTTAGGTTGCATTTATGGCCCATTTTAATTCATAAACCCCAATCTGTACTTATTAGGTTCTTTAAATCTATGAAATTCGCTTTCAAGAGGAATCGGAATGCCACATTGATGAGATGGGTTCCTAACACACCAGTGTAACTTCTGATATCAATTCTCTCAGGTTTGTTACGTCTTAGTTTTTGGCGGACTCATTGTACGAATTACTTTATTAAGCGTGCACTTGTACGTATGTATGCTTATTTTCGTCTGCATGCTCGTTATAGGACAATACAATAGAACTTACACACCTAGATCACTACATAGAAACAGTTTCTTTTTACGCGATTTCCATCGTCTATACACAAGGTTTGTATTGGAAATCACAAATAATCTATAGTGAACGGATAGATTCCTAATTCAGATTCGTCACTGGGTTACATAAACTTCAAAGTTGAAAGACTAATATGATAAATAGTTTGCACAATAATAAGCTCTAAATTCAGATAAATGCAAATCCTTGATTTCCAGGTGCTTTTTTGAAATCTTGTTTTTATTATTATAACTATTTTTTTATATCTTTAATCGAAATTAATATTCGTAAGTTTTAATAAAGTCGCATTTTGTCTATCACGTCATTCGTTCTGTTTGCTACATCGAAGTAAAATTTTACTATGTCCATATAGTTACTTTATACTTTTTATATTAAATATTTACGTGCGAAACTGATTTTATGCAAAATCTAACGCATGGTTTGTTACAATTAGCCAATCTTAAAACTCGACTTGAATCACAGTGTATTCAAATTACAATTCTAAACCGCTTTTTGGTTCCATATAGTTGATTGATTTCTTCTATAATGAAACGAGATGAAATTAAGTAACTATTCTGCCTAATTTTATTCAACTGGCGATAAAAATATGACATCAGCGTTTCTACTTTTCAATTCCTATAATCTAATTGAATATGTAGATTTGTGAAGTAATTTCAATACACAGTGTAATTTCTACCTGTGGACTGGATACTACACATTCTGTCTCAATCAAGAATTAAACATGTCTTCATATCTATCAACAGCAGTTTTCGCATCGTTTGAAGTGCTACTCAATTTGATCTTAACAATGAGTAACTTTGCAAATTCGGTTTCGCTACTCAAGCCATTCAACCAAGAGTTGAAATTATTAACTTATTCAGTTAAACAATAGTTATTTTAAATAGTTTATTCCTGGTTTATGCTTATATTAAAGGGATATAGCGTGCTCACCTCTCTTAATATTTTCCTGTGCAAAAATTTTGTTCAGGGATACTGGTCACAAAAAATCGGCCATGTAACATAGTACTTCCATGCACTCCCAGTTGTCGCTACCACATTATGATCTAAGCATTATGTTTTCTTTCATGTAGGTCAAAATTGACTTCTTCAATTTGTTGAAAGAACAAAAAAGTATCAACCGATACACTCATTGGACTGATGTCAAACGCAAGTTGGATACTGATCCTCGATATAAAGCTGTAGATTCTTCTTCAAAAAGGGAGGATTGGTTCCGAGAATTTATTCGTAAACTTGATGATGTAAGTTTTACTTTTGAGTTTTAGCTTATAGTTCCCGATAGTTTATGTAGGGATTGCTAGTCTCTACGTTTTTGCAATTTAACTCATGTTCGGGGATGTATGATGTGTTGTTTAAACATTAGATATTCAGAATGATTTATCTGTAAATTCTGATGGATATGAGCACGAACAGATTTTGATAGTTCTTAGTTTAACAATTAATGCGTCTTTTTTACTAACTTTTGTTTATTTAGTAAATCGGAACATCAACGATTTTTTTAGCAGAAAGTAGGCGAGTATGTTTAAAACTAGTATGTTTATTCTCTGATTAATTCCACTGCAATGTTCAGTATTATTTGACTTCACAAGCTTTTGGTTTTCCATATTAATTTTACTTCGGCATTTAATAGAGATGGATAATTCATCTTACCATGTATCCTGCGATAGTTCTTATGATTTGTGTGAACAAACAGAAGAATTAAAATTATGTAGTTATGGACTTCTAAACTACTCTTTATAGTCATATAGTAGTATCATAGCATGATCATCCTCTGGTGTTTAACATTTCAAACTTTCTGCTGATTTTGAACTTCTAACCAAAATTAACCATCGGCTTCATAAAGTTTACTTCCGGATCCTAATTTTGCCTGGGATGATAGCGGTCGCAATCACCAGTCAGAAGTACCCCATGAAATATTAAATTGTCCTGGCTTTCGTCAAATAGGGTTCATTTCGTCTTTCAAACCACTGCAGATAATTATCCATTTAAAAAACTGTCTTAACAATTATCAGTAATCAGTTTAGACATCCACTACTTATTTTGCTAACCCATTGTTTATGCCAATCGTCGACACATTTATTTTAATTTATATAAAAATTATACATTTTTATGGGAACAGTTCCTTCCGAGTTTGTATCACTCCCACTTCATAGATTTCTTCATCCGTTGAATAAACGTACATAACATATGGTGCTAGTTTTTATATACTTATTTACTTTAACACATAGATATTGATACAAGGGGTCACCAGATACGTATGCACCACACAAATCTCATTTGATTTGTATGAGAACCGTAATACTGCAAGGGTGTCCAAAACGTTGCAGTTGGTTTTCTTAGGGGGCCACATCCGGAGCCTTCGACCTACAGGACGGATCCACAAGGCAGTGGAGCATCGTAAGGAGATGCAGTCCCATGGTAGCCGGTGACCAACTATTGGTTCATATACCATTTGTTCCCTCAGGATCCTGGTGCCCATGTGGACCGTTGGTTTGTAATCAGGGTTATGCATCTCCCCTAGGTGGACTCCGTGCTAGTTTAGTACAGTATATAGAAGTAGTTATCTCTCTGTTTTGTTTTTACTGTCAATAAAACATGGGATTGTCTCAGTGAGTCGTTGTAAGCGGTTGTAAAGATATTTCCATTTTTTAGACACTCATATGCATACTTTTAAAAAAATTAGGTCCCTGCTGTTCGTGAAGATAGTTACACAAGGAAAGAACGAGAAAAAAAGGAACGTCAGGAAGCATCCCTTAGAGAACGTGAGAAGGAAGTAAAGGAGGCATTATCGTCTTCGTTGAGGGAAAGAGACAAAGAGAGAGAACAACATTTGCGCAATGAACAAGAAACAAACTTTCATTCAATGCTGCAGGATATGATTCGTGATCCTAGTCTGTCATGGAAAGAAGCCAAGAAATTGCTCCGTAAAGATCCTAGATGGGAGGCTGTTAGTGATGTGTTCGAACGATCTGAACGAGAAGAGATGTTTAAAGAACACATCAATGGATTGTCTAAAAAATCTCGCGAAATATTTTATCGACTATTGAACGAAATCGAGGAAGTAAGTTAGTATAGAAAAATCGATTTCGTAGATATCTTTTGATTTGTCGTGGAAAGAAGCAAAGAAAATAATAAATACTGATCCTCGTTTTGAAAAGATTCCGAACGACAGAGTACGTACCTTCCCCTCATTTATAATCTTTCTGTGTCTAGAAGAAAGAATCCGAATATTTATTGTGGGTAGATATGAAAAAAAATCAGGCGAAAGAAGCCTTTAAAGAACTACTAAGAGAAACCAAAATAATTAACACACGGTAAGTTGATGTATGTTTCGTGTTATAATTCATAAAACAGAACCAAAACAACTCTTGAAGAGAACGAAAATCACATTTCAGATATTATGGAGGCTCTTGAGGTTAGTAACATTCCTTTGTATTACAATTGTTGTTTATTTCTTATGTATTTAATTCTTAATAATCGTTTCTATATTACAGAAAGATAAACGATTTATCGCCTTGGATGCGTTTGAGGATGAACGTAATGCTTTGATCGAAGATTATATTGATAGTTTAGACAAAAGGCGCACTCCAACTCCATTGTCGATGTCAGCAAAAGATCCCAATCGTCGGTAGTATCATAATAAGATCAATTTTTTTCTGCATTTTCATTTTGATTCCATCAGTGACTGCATGTTCTTATTCTTCATACAAAACTAGTTTTCTCATCATACTCCTGGAATTTTTGAACAAAATGTTGTGTTGGTTGTAATATTGATACTGTTAAATAAACTCGTTCATTCTATGCATTTTCTTGATTCTTAAAAAGTGGAGAAAAACTTGTTTGAATTTACTTTCTCCATTTCGCCTATTTATATTCGTGTTATAATCGTTTTATGAAATAATGCTACATGCATTTCATTTCGTTATTATTAGGTATTATGGTTCGAAACATGCATAACGTGTTAACGTGATTCATGTATTATTACATTGTACTGTTTATGTAATTCAGTTCAATAGATTTTTGGCATTTTGACGCATCGTAAGAAATTGTTTGAGGTGATGTTTCTAACATCATGCATACATTAGCGCTATGTTCATTGGTAGACATAATCAAGGAATTCAGTTTTATTTTCATCCGTGATGCTTTTCAACTTCCCTGTTCTTTACTGTAGAAGTAGAAAACCATGTTGAAGCACTCCACTGAACATCTTTACGCATGCATTGTTACGTTATCGTTTAAATGTAATCTTTAATACACCAACTGTTGTATTGCTTATCTGCTGTATGTAGCAAGAAGTTTACTGTTTTTTAGTTAACCTAACTAGCGTGTATGTATGAGAATTATGAACTGCACTACTAAGGTTCAAGATTGTTAGTATCGTCATAAACATAACCCGATATTAACCTAGAAATTATCGTTTTACTCTTACGATGCTAGTCAGCATTACATCTAATTTGCCCCATTCACTAGTCAGAGAATGTTTTGACTATGGTAGTGTTCATAGGCAATTAAGTACATATATAGCCTTTTTAATCCACTGGTGATACTAGGCTAAGCTCATGTTCACATGCTTTTTAGAATAACACTACCTATCACTGATATGAGCAGAACATCAGAGTCACATGAGCTGAATTCATGTTCGACGAATTCAAAAGAAGGTTATTTTTCAGACATCATACTACAAGATGCTTCAACGTAAGTTCTTTAGATTTCAATTTGTTTTGTCTTAATTATTTAAAACTTACTGATAGTTTTGTTTCGAATATGTATTTTGTTTAAATAGCAAGTCAATTCTCACAAGCTTTATTGATAATAAAGTTCTCAACTAATCACATGTCTTCATTTTAGCTTAATCTATTTTTAAATTTTTCTGCAAAATGTTAACCACAGAGAAATGGAACTTATTTCTTGATTTGGTGGTTGGGCTTGTCTATCGTTTTTCTCAACCTAGTCATGTTGACGGAAGCATTTATACCTTTAGGTCACGCTGTCCCAGCTAGGATAGTTGTCGGACTCTAAGACTAGAAGCACTAAATCTTAAGACGGTCATATTGCTAAATGTGCATGACCGCTACTCCATTAAGCTGCATTGAAATATTTACCCCATTGTACTGGTAGTAGGGTGTTTTCTCCAAACAACTATTATACGCAGCTATGTTGCCTTCCCAAAACAGAGAGAGGGCTTTTGGTGTGCAGATATAAAACATCAAGAACTACTTGCTGAAAGACTATATGAATCTCCTTAATCGGTCGCTCCTTAGACTGTGCTCATACTGCTAAATTTCGAAGACTGGAATTTACCACCGCTCGTTGTTTCGTAAAAAGCATACTGAAAGAAACTATATACCTATAACGATGATCTAAATTACACGTTAGAGTTTAATGTTCGAACCTTATAGAAAGTCGAAAACAGTTTTCTTTTGCTAGGACTATGAGGTCTCGTACCACTGGCAACAATTGCGCCTCCTAAACTCGCATACAGAATTGAAGGGTTATGGTTCAGTAACTCTTACCTAGCTGATCCAGAGAACCGACGGGACTTGAAGTACATTTATATGTCCCCACCAGTGTTCTCGTTCACTAGGGTGTGATATCCATCCTTAAGCGGTTGGTGTCGTTTTCTTTGAGGATAGATGGTTTGGTTACGAAGCATTGTTAAGGTATATTTGTTTTATGTCCAAATAGCTGTGAAGATTGCAGTGATATACACGAATAAATTGAATTAAAAACTTGAGAAACACCAGTGAGTCTCTGTATTATTTACGGAACCATCAGGTGCTTGAGAAATCATCCCGCCAGGCTCGGAACAAAGGTAGTTTAAGTGTATGTTCACAAACCTAAAAAATGATCGCGGTCAATAGTGGGCGGCAAATGCGAGGGAGGTGGAAATGGTGGAGTTATTGAGTAACAGTGAAAAACTATTCTGAATAACCTGGGAAATAGGTACGAAGACAGCTGTTAGTGAGGTCCTTTCAAAGAGATACGGTATGATTATTCGCTTCTAATCCTAGATATTAGAGTGTTGGGCATTTCAACTAGCCTGTCCCTCTATAAGAAACAGTATGGGGAATTGAATTAAGCCTGCCTCCATCTCTAATGAAGTTTAAACGTCTATAACTAATCCGAAATGTGTGTGACAGTGCACTAGGTTGGGATGAATTAACATTGTTTGCTGTGTTGTCTAGGATTTGGAAAGTGGATGTAATCTCTTTAATTCGCTTGATATGTTGTCAGAAATACTAGTGTCAACAATCATTGGGTATCTAACTAGAATAATTGAAGAGGGGACCTGAAAAATTGAGCGTGTTTTCAAACCTGGAGGTGGATGTTTCGGTCGAATATTCGCCCTTCGTTAAATTCTGTAACATAGGTTTTTTTCAGGATTTCGACTACAGTTGTGTTCCTTGATCTTAAGGATGCATTGGAATCTGTTGTTCGAGGTGTTTTATGCGGGTGTCTGTCATTGGAAGACGTTCTAATGAGATAAATTAACCGTGTGGTTAGTGGGACTGAGCGGCACGTCTGAGAATCGTTCACTACGGTTCTGGCGCACTTACCAGTAATTATTTTGATATAGATTTATGAGTATAGATATTTCATAGTGTTAGGGATATCACTTAATAGATCGAAAATTGCAGGTTTAGTTAATCACATTGAACTAAGTGATTTACACAATGGTTTAACTTTCCAAATTCACCCTCTGCATACATAATTGAAATGGAATCGATTTTGAGCAACTGAGTTGTTTTCAACACAATATTATTTACTGATTGATGTGGAATACACCATCTTAACTAAATGTATTGTCTGTTCCATGCGAATCTCTTACCTGTACGTTGATCTTTTTGCAAGATCAATCTTCGTACTCACTCCTTGCAGTTTGTGTTCGTTTAAGGCATCTGGTTTGTTCATGTGAAGGCGACACTGAGACATTGTGAATCTATGTTCCCATGTATCTTACGGGTTTACGATCAGGGTTTTTTTAATTCATGTAAGTATTTTTCTTGGCGTAATGTGTTCTTTGGTCTTCATCTTATTCTTTGGCCTTGAGGATTCTATATGAGGGATTGCCCGGTGATGCAGTTCGGTGCTTTCCTCAATGTGTGTCCTATCCACTTTAAACGCTTTTTCCTGACTTCTTCCTCCGCTGGGATCTGGTTTGTTCTCTCCCATAGTGGGTTGCTGCTGATCGTGTCTGATCAAAGGATCCGAAGTATTTTGCATAGACAACTGTTAATAAACAGTTATATGTTCTGGATGATGGCTTTCGTAGTTCCATAGATTTCCGCTCCATACAGGGATTATTCAACACAAATCGATTTATCATGAAAATGATCATTTCGTTGAAGATTCTTCGTTTAAATAAAAGTATTCAACTTCATTGGAAATCAGTTTATGGTTTACTGTATCCCACGTTATAGATTGAGAGTAAGAACACTTGTATGGGTATATTAGACGTATATATGTACAGCATTCATCTGGAACTCAAAACAATTTACAATCAATACCAAGGTCAGAATTTTCAATACAAATGTCAAGACAGTTCTACTGTATGGAGCGGAAACTTGAGAACTACGAAAGTCATCATCCAGAAGATACAAGTGTTTATCAACAGTTGTCTATTCAAAATACTTCGGATCCGTTGGCCGGACACTATTAGCAACAACGAACTGTTGGAAAGAACTAATCAGATTCCAGCTGAGGAAGCAATGAATAAGAAGTGCTGGAAGTGGATAAAACACACATTGAGGAAAGCACCCAACTGCATCATAAGGCAGGTCATCACATGGAATCCTGAAGGTCTAAGGAGGGGAGGAATACCAAAGAACACATTACGCCGAGAAATGGAAATAGACATGAGAAGAATGAACGAAAATTGGATAGAACTAGAAAGGAAGACCTATGACAGAGTTGGTTGGATAATGGTGGTCGGCGGCCTATGCTCCATTAGGAGTAACAGGCGTAAGTAAATAAGATGCGATAATTCGAAATTCAGAAAAAGAGTTATGTTGTTGTTTTAGTCAATCACTGAATAGTGTCTTTTCCAGTTCTTAGTGTTGACCAACCAAATTGGGTTGGCATCCTGATACCTTTAGCCTTGATATCAGGTGATAAAAATTGGAATCTGTGGAATTTCAGTACTGTCAAACTCCTCAGTAACTACTTAAAAACTTACATACTGTATTGATCTGTTAATCATAATTCACATATAACCTGAGATATATATAGAAAAATCAGTTTACGTTACTATACCCACATAAACACATCGACAGAAAATCAACAATCCCAGAAGCGCAAAATAAGATTCATACAGTAATACTATCAATTGATTGATGTGATTATATCTTTGTGATTGGACAACCTTTAAGGGACCTAGGATGATCTTGGGAATATCCACTTACTTATTCGGGTTAAATGAGTATGAGGAATTAGATTAGGATTAATGTTTACAATATGATGTTGTAAGGGTTAGGAATTAGATTTAGCAGCTTCATCACTAATTGACACCAGTTATATTGTGAAAATTCTATTTACCTAAATGGATAAATGAACTTTACGTCAAAAATCCAAGACATTTTATCTTCAATCTGATTGATTCGTTTATAAATTATAGTTCCATCGTCCTTCTTACTCCGAACTTCTCACTAGCCTATAATAAACAATTAATTTAAAGTATTTGTTCTTGTTTATAGAATAGAGAATTATTTGTTTTGTAGTTGTAGGAAGTTTGTAAAGTTCATTCAATTTGTTGTTTACATCATAGACGAGATGTAATCAAGAATAGAGAATTACTTGCTAACTCGGTGGTCTAGAAGTTAAGCGATTGCCTTAAGTCTTGAAGGTTATCTGGCGTGGTCCTACATAAATACTGCTACAGAGTCTTATACTCAGTCACCAAGTGAATCTTCTCGGTAGACCTACATATTTACATTTACTAAATAGTGACTGTTATTTGACAGTCTTCGTTCTATTCAGTCGGTCAACGTAAATCCTGGAATATATTTTGGTCTCTCCATGTTGCCACACCACATTATCATAACAAGGTATAAGGGCAGTAGAAATAGTAGCAGTGTCCGTGTTAATAGAAAAGATGTGGTATAGACAACATGATTTAAGAAAAAAAAATGAAATCACAGAATAAAAAGTACCAGATAATTTTGTAATGCATTATCTGGTAAGATTTATCGACGACATTTGAGCAACGCTAAAGTTACCTTGAGAATGGACACCTACTAATTAAGGTTATATGCCAGCTGGAATCACGATTTACAGTTGATAGTTAGGGTTAGGAACTAGGCTCAGGTTTTTCATCACGAATTAACATCAGCTATAATACCAAAACTCTATTTAAACAAATGAATGTCGCGCCAAAATTCAATCTGATTGGTTTGTCCATAGATTAATATCTCGCCCATGATATAAGAGAAGGCAGTATGTATGCTTCTGTGTCATTGCGATTGATTCTGAGTCATGTCAAATAAATTCTCTCATGTTTAGTTAAGATAATCACACTGGCCATAACCAGGTTGGTAATCTGTACCTACTGAAACGTCTCAGACTAACAGTTGATAAATTTATTGACAATTATGTTTTATCGGTATGAAACAAAGGACAGAAACGTAGTTAAAGTGAAGAAGTTCATTTTAGTCAGTCTCCAATCAATCAAATAGTATATTTCTAAGATCCGAATATTGCTAAATTGTTGCTTGACCTGTTTATTATAGATGATATTATACGTGATTTGATTGATTTACTTATTTAAACATGAACATTGGTACATGGGTGTATCAAATACATATGCGCTACACAATAATAATGAGGCCAACGGCAGTTATCATTGATTTATGTGAGAGCTATAATACTGTACGGGTGCTTAAACCCGAAGTATGTGGTTTTATTAGGGGCCAAATCTTGAGTCTTTGACCTACAGGTGTAATCTACAAGAAAGTGAAGCAACGTCAAGAGATGCAATCCCATGGTAGCTGGTGAGTAACTATAAGTTCATACGCTTTTTGTTCCTTTAGGATCCTGGAGCCCATGTCAACCATTGGTTTGACATTAGGGTTTTTTAACTCTCCTATGTAGATCCTCCATTCCCCTTGAATCCGACTAAAAAGCGCCGGACATTTGCTTTTCGTCCTCTGAATTTCGTAAACAACACCCTTGCTATGAGAAGGCAGTGAGTAAGACTTCCCTGTCAGTAGCTGTTTATACGTGGCCATGTGAGAGCATTTCGAATGGTAGAGCTGACTCTTCCTACTCTCAGCCGTACCAAGGCATTCAGGGGCGATTCGAATCATATTTTATAAAGTTGTTGTTTTCATCTGTTTACACATAAAAAAAGATACAGAATTAGTATTAATCGATTTAATGTAAGTCATTAATCTGCGGATTATCCATTCATCTAGCTTTAAATTATGCATTATTTGTGAAGGGTTTAGTAATACCATCTGTCCTTTCGTAGCTAAATAGACAAGACAGAATTTGATCCTATCTTGTTGATATTTTAACCAAAAATTAATCATTCTTATTTGATGTATTTGCATTTTATGCGGATTACCTCAATATAACCCTTCTGACAGAAATTCACATTTAGATTAACCACACAGGATGCTCAAATGCTAATTATATTAAAATATCAACAAAGGAATAATCCAATACATAAATTAAATTGGAATTCATACAGATCGCCCAACTGAATAACTATCTTGATTCATTAAATGGATAACGTTTTAACGTTTGAAGTGAAAGGTACTAGGTTTGAGTTCTGTAGTGTACATCAATAATTACATACAGGTGCATCTAACTGACAAGTCAGTCAGTCAGTCAGCTGCAACGTAGGACCAGGCACGTATATGCATCGGTCCAAGTTGCCATACCGCATTAGCACAACAAGATGAACACCGGATTCATAGAAGTATTTAATTCAGTGGTGGTAATATATAGAAGAAAGAGTGTGTATAAGGAGATAGTACAGGAAGATAGAATTAGTTCGTAGAAAGAAAGATTTGAAGTGATTTTAATCTCTTAGTTTCAAAGAAGACAGAGAGTGTATACACCTACGCCATTGTGATCGATTCTGAGCCATGTCACCAAGAGTCTCCAACCATTGGTTACGATAGTCACGCGGACCCCAACCAGGTAGTCTGCATTTACCAACATGGCTCAGACCAGAAGTTAGTGACTTCAAGCTCTGATGCCACGTTTTGGTTTGGTCGCCCCTAACTTACTTCCAGTCATCCCTAACACCGGTTAGCATTGTGCGTCGTGGTAATCTGTGTTCAGGCATACGCAGCACGTGGCCCAACCATCTCAGTCGATGAAGGTAACTGACAAGTCCTAAACAGGACACAATACAAATCCTTAATTCCACCACTAGCTACATTCTATCTATACTATACATCTTACACATGGTATTTAAACAAGAATTTTTAGATTATACGATAGATTGGACTATTGATTTAGACTTGAATGATGTTTGTTTCTAAGTTTAATTGCTCCCAATTTAATATATTATCAGTAGGTTAATTGGCTTACTGTCGTCATGTTTGAACTATGCCTTTCACAACTTATCACTAAAACATTATGATTTATCTGACTTAATCACTCTCATAAAAATCAGTGTTTTTCTCCAGTTACTAATGATAACGTGTTAGGATTTAAATAATCATTTATCATATTTCAATAGTTGAGATCATGAGTCAATTGAAACTAGATCATCATGGAAAACCTGGAAACACTGGACGGCCATTTCGTCCTATTGTGGGACTCCTCAGCAGTACACATCCACGACCCCGCCTCGCGGGACTCGAACCCATGACCTGTCACTCTTGCTCGTGAGTGCTTAACCATTAATGATTAACCACTAATAGGTGGCTATTAAAATTACTATAATATCCACAAAGTAAGTCAGTCAGTAACAACGTAAGAAAGTCTCCCACTTCGGTCTAAGCACCCGAACACCATACCAGCTGTCACAAAAATCGAATGGTTCATGTGGTATATATATATGTGGTGCGTTCTTGTACCAATGTTTATGTGTTTAAATAAATAAATAGAAATAAATGTTCAGTCAGTAACAACGTGGAACTTCGTACGTACATACATCAGTTCGAATTGCCATACCACATTGGCACAGAGATTCAGTTATTGATTCAAATCCCGTAGTGGTAGAGGTAATGAAAGTATAAGTAGTAATAAGGAACATTAGGGTTTGATAATGTTATTCAAGGAGTATAATCCAGTGAAATAGATTTGGAAAGAAAATGAAGAACATGAAGAATTCAGAAGATAAGAGTTTGAGAGAACACAAAGAGTGGATGTACCTGTGCCATTGCACACGATTTCGAGCCATGTCATTCAAGGTCTCTAACTATCAGCTGCTATCATCTCGCTGTCCCCAACCAGGTAGTCTACACCTACCAACATGACACAGTCCACTTGTCAGTGACTTCATGGATTTGTACCATGTATAAGGTTTAGTGCTGCTCGATTGACGAATTGCCACGATACTATCTTAAGTCACAAGTATTATAAACACAGGTGAATGGTGGCTAGCGGTGAAATCCGGGACGCATGTTTCATCCTTTTAATCTTTAATTCCAATATCGTTTCATGCATACCTTTCCAACCTGTCTTTTCAAACCATGTTCTCAATGTTAATTTTTCATTGTCATTATTACTACTATAAAAGTTGGATCGTTTTTGTTATACTTATCTTGTCGTAATAATCAGGCATAAGAATGTAGGTCAATAGATATCTATGTTAGGGTTTATACTGATGACATCTCTATCATCATATCCGTGCACTTGTCAACAGTTCCTTTCATTTTATCCATCCTCTTCTTTTTTCTTTATATAGTATGAATGATTTTGTTCAATCAGAAGGAATTTCTCATTCATTAGCTATTGATAATACTGCTGAAAGTAGTAAGTGTTTATTAAATAATGTTTTCTTTTATCTAATAGACTGTTTGTTTACAAGTATTGGTAGGTCAGTTGGTGATTGATAAAATTCGAAGATATACTTTACTTCACAAATACACTACTAACCTCCGCTACTTCTTTATATATACGTATGCACCACACAAATCTCATTTGATTTGTGTGAGGGCTGTAATACTGCTCAAACCAAAGCAGGTGGTTTTCTTAAGGGGCCATACCCGAACACTTCGACCTAAAGGAACAACGTAAAGAGATGCAGTCTCATGGTAGCCGGTGACCGACGATTGGTTCATACACCATTTGTTGCCTCAGGATATTGGAGCCAGCCCATGTACACCATTGGTTTGTAATCAGGGTTTTCCAACTCGCCTGACTGGACTCTCCGTCTCCATCAACCCGGTTAAAGCGCCGGACATTCGCTTTTCGTCCTCTGAATTTCGTAAACAACACCCCTGCCACGAGAAGGCAGTGAGTAAGACTTCCCAGTCAGTAGCTGTTTATGCATGGCCATGTGGGAGCATTTTGAAAGCTAGAGCGGACTCTCCCCACTTTTGACTGAAACAGGGCATCTGGAGGCAAAATCTGTGCTCCGAGAGAGAGGCAAATCATATACTCAATACCTAATGCTTATTAGTGTTGTTCTCTGCTTAAAAAGCTCAATGGTAACGAATCAAGCTGTGAAACTGAGTTACTTAAGTTCTAGTCATACGTAAAATAATCTCTTCTAGATTGTGGATATGTCTTGCTGACGTTTACCAACTAACATACAACCTAGATCTAGGTTTTTTTTGCTAACTACCTCCAACTATCTAACACCTTCAAATGTTGTAGTGATCATGATGTCTTCTGTAGGTCGCTTATTCGAAATCCAATGGGGTTTTTATCACCCGATCATGATACGATGTAATTTCCATTACATTCAAAAAAAAACAACTCGAACCATTTATCTCCATGAACAATTAGTAATGTTCGCTTTTCAAATGAAACAGTCCAATATATCTTCATATATTTCTCATTATCACAATATTATGTATGTATACATGTATATAATTTCAGATGAAGATGTTCTTGATGAAAAGAACGAAGTCCCTAAGGCAAAGGATGCATTTCCTAGGGGTGATTATGAATTCCTAGGATTATTAGAACAACAAATGATCAATAAAAAGGTCAGTTAAGATCATATTTTTTGATTTCTTCCCTTTTCTATTGGATATTTTATCCCCCCTCTCTCTCCACATATTTGTTCTATATAAACAAAGAAAAAAACTTGATCTCTTTATTGCTTAATACCAAAATGGTTCTAGATAAGTCGAAAAGAAAAGAACTTTTGAAGAGGTTATTGTACCTTTATATCTTAAACCAAGTTCGCATATCTGTTGTGTTGCAGGGGGGGGTTTCTCGATTCTAATACTGGTAAACAGACATACGATTTGCAGTATAATCAGTCAGCCAAATCGAGAAATGACTATACAGAAATATTTAGGCCCCATTTTCTCATCAATGCTTTGTATATCTCATTATTTAGAAAACGTAACTAAATATCGGCTAATCATTTCCGTTTTTATCATTTGGTTGTTATCTGTTTGATTCATTGGATCAATATAACTTATTATCTTGATATTGATAATGTAACCCGTTTTTTGTTTTTTTTCTTCTTCTTCTAAGAATTAACTATCATATGATAAAGTGTATGCTATGGTTAATAAACTTGATAAATTGTTCCATAACTATTTAATCGTTAAAAAAATCAGTTGGTTTTTAACCTGAGTAATTTTTTGATTGAGATCATGAATCGACTGATGTTAGACCAGCGTTGGAAACCTGGAAGCACTAGACGGCCGTTTCGTCCTAGTATCGGACTCCTCAGTAGTGCGCATCCACGATCCCGCTCTCGGGATTCGGACCCAGGGCCTTCAGTCTCGCGCGAGATCGTGGATGCGCACTGCTGAGGAGTCCGATACTAGGACAAAACGGCCGTCCAGTGCTTCCAGGTTTCCAACGTTGGTCTAACATCAGTCGATTCATGATCTCAATCAAAAACTTAATAATTTCCACAACCCCAATAATGATGATTTAGTTTTGTTTTGGTTTGGAAAGTCGACTAGGAACTGACTTGACTTGAGATAAACTTCTTACATTCTTTAATATACAACGTTTTCATCGTTGCACTAATGGACCAAAATAACAAGAGATCTAGTAAATGGTGTATCATTTATGGTAGTTATAAAACTGATAACAAGACAACAACTGATATCATGAAGATGTGTTATAGGCTTTTTAGGTTGACATTATCACTAAATCTTAAACATAATTCATTAATTCTGAAACAAACATATACCATCTGGTTACACTACATTTTATAAACGTTGCACTTATATAGTGCATAGTCCGTTTGATTCCTTCTAATGGTTCAAGAATATGGACAATCAATATACATTAAGATAAGTTTAAATTACTACAATCTGCACAAAACCCCTTCTGATACTAATCAACATATGCTCACTAGTGACTGGCATCAAGAAATATATCCTGGAGTTTTAGTGAGAAGCAGTGACCAGTGGAGTTCAACCGGTTTAGTTGTGAGATAATAACTCACTGATGACAATGGTGGATGTGTCGCTCAATTTCGTGGATTAGTTGAAATTAGACATTAACACCCTTGGATGCCGACCAGTTCAGTGGTCTAGTTAGTTAAGCTCATGGCGCGAGACCTGTAGGTCCTGCTGAGGAGTCCCACAATTCGACGAAATGGCCATCCAGTGCTTCCAAGTTTTTCATGGTGGTGTAGTTTCAATTGATTCATGATCTCAACTGTTGAGATAAGTTTATATGCCATTTTTTTCGATTTATAGAAAGAATAATCTGTAGAAGAAACATTGGTAGACTTAGTGGTCATGTAAAATTCGGTCATACTTTACAATTGTTTCCTCCGTAAACTATCTTTTTATAAAAGATGTTTTCTGATTTCCTAGATATTCGTCGTTGTTGTTTTAGACTCGTTTGTTTACCATACCTAACTATAATTTTGAGGCATCTTCGCCATTATTACGTCTACGTAATTTATTCCAACTTTAAAACATACACGTTATTATATACTTTCCAGTCGTTTTGTCACATAAACTTTTAATCTTGCCGATTAGGTGTAATCCTAAGAATTTCTTATGAATATGTACACGACGATACATATGTATCTGTATAGTGCACTTATTCGTTTCTCTTTCATGCTAACAAGTTTTGGCCCCCAAATGCCATGGTTTAGTCGAGGGTAGGGAAAGCCCGTTCTCATTCTAGAAATGCTCTCACATGGCCGCGCGTATATAGCTACTAGCCACTACCGAAACAGATGGTATTGTATTCTTAGGGGACCACTCGACGAGCCATTGACCTAGAGATCTAACTTACAAGACAGTGGAGTAACGTCAAAAGATTCATTTCCATGATAGCCGGTGACCATAGGCCATTTGCTTTCTCAAGATCCTGGAGCCCATGTGTACCATTGGTTTGGAATCAAGGTTATTGAACTCCCTTTTATGGATCCTCTATATCCACCAACTCATATTAATCGTCTGACATTCACTTTTCATTCTCTAAATTTCGTAAACAACACCCGTAGTACGAGAAGGCAGTGAGTTAGACTTCTCTGGCAGTGGTTGTTTGAGAGTATTTGGAGAGTGCTGACTATCTTCACAATCGGCTATACGTATTGCATTTAAGAGTAAAATAACTGTATTATATTTCAATAAGGTGATGTAAATCAGTAGATAAACATGTGAACATCAACTCTGAGATGTAGGTACATCCATCTGACGAGTCCAAAATTGGACGAAACGCGCGTCAAACTGGATTGCACCGCTAACCACTATCCATCTCTCCTTATAATTATGTTAATTGTTTTGTTATATCCATATTTTAATTTAAACTTTATATTTATTTCTAGTAGATTTAAACAATCAATTTTGAATATTGTAAGTTGATCTTCAAGTGGATTGTTCACTAAAACAAAACTTTAATTCATCAGTTTTTTTTTTCTTGTTATAACTTCATATTGTACATCATACGTATATATTTCATAAAATGTAGTATTACTATGTTTATGTTGAAAAGTATTGATGGTATTTTGATAGAGTTTTGTTCTCTGATCTGGATGGTTTGGTCGTGGAGCTTTCATCGTTCTTCTGAACGACATCATCAGAACAAACTTTAAATAGAAGTGAAGTGCTCGAATTTCTCCATATGCATTTCACAGCTTGTTCTGTACACCTCGATGTTGATTGGTTCTTTTTGATCCTAAATATGTCATTGTTTTGTTAGTTTCTCCTATTGGTTTGATTCTTGTTCCTGTATTTGTGCACAAATTTCCTGATTAGTTGATAAATTGGATCGATTTCAAGTTCGATGAAAGCTCCACGACCAAACAATCTAACTCCATCAAAATCATCCACCTGAGCTACAAATCTTCTCCACCATCTCAATATTGATGGTAGTGTACTGAATGAGAACTGTAGTGGAGAAATCATACATTAAATACATTAGTTACACATCTTGTTTGAATAGTTTCTTATATAGTTGATTGTTCCTTCATTTCTATGGTTATCTTGATTGTTTCCAGTTACTTTCTTTCTTCTTTTCATTTATATCTTTTCAAAATTCTGCTCGCAAACATTCCACTTCCTACCGGTGCTACACACTACTTATATCTGCTAACATAAGTAGCACATGTTACTTGCGTAACATAGAACAGACAGATGCTACTAGGTATAACTGAATCAAGTTTTAAATCTTCATTGATGAAGGTATTTGAGACATGTTTTACGTATCCCAACTACTGCCTACCTCGCTGATAGAGGAAAGTAGGGTTAAATAATGTTAAGAGCACTCGAACCAAAATCTAATGACAATCTACGAAGTTATTAATTAGTTATCATATTCATGCTGGTTTGCACGAATAACGTGAAAAGCAATTATAAACCTTAAGTGACATGACTCAGAAGCTGTCATAGTAGCACAGATATCTTTCAATAGATATATGTTTTATTTCGTAATATACCATCTGATTGTTTAAATCAACATTGTTGAAGTGGCTTCTCGCTTCACTGATTCTATGATGATCAAATTTTGCTCATTCGAATTACAGATATTTTTGTAAATGGACATATGAAATGCAGATATTCACACTACTTCAGATCCTAGAACATAGACAAACACTCAAACGTCCCACAATAGTAGTGTTTCTTGACCTTCAGACAGCATGTTACTCTGTAGATCGTGAGGTTCTATGGCAGTGTTTGTCACTAAAAGTAGTGCTTAGGAAGTACATTAACCTTATACAGGTTCTTTAATCGAACACAACTGGCCGTGTGAGAGCTTATGAACAACTGTTATCAGAATTGATTACTTCAAGTGGTGTTCGTCGGGGCTTTCCACTCTCTCCATTCTTGTTTAAGTTTGTCGTTGATGTGCTTTTAGAGATAACACTTTCCTCATCTAAATTTCTAGGAGCTGAAATTTTACCAGAAAATTCACTTTTCGACTTAGAATATGTCGATGACATAGTTCCATTTGGTGAAGACGCTGACAAAATGCAGAGTCTTCTGACCACTCTAGGCAACAATGCAAGCATGTTCGGCATGAGATTCTCTCCCTCGAAATGCAAAATGTTACTTCAGGATTGGGTTGCATCGACACCCGAACTAATGATAGGGAGTGAAGTAGTTGAGTATGTGGATCGCTTCACTTATCTTGTAAGTCTCATCAGCCCTTGTTTTCTGGTGTGTGACGAAATCTTAGCACGGATACAGAAGGCTTGACTAGCTTTTACCAACTTGCTTCATTTATGACGTAGTTGAGATATCCGTTTACCAACGAAAGTACGGGTTTACTGTGCAGCAGTTCTTTCCGTCCTACGGTAAGAGTAGAGGATATTCGTAGGCTACTAGTATTCAATCATTAGTGTCTTCGAAGCATTGCTCGTATATTCTGCATTCACTTTGTGTTCTCCCAAATTCGAATCCTCTGTATTCTTCATATCCCTTTTCTTCTATTTCCAAATTTATTTCACTCATTATACTCTTCAAATCTTAATCTTTCTGATTACTGTCTATACTCTTACCACATCTACCACTATTGGATTTGAATCGACAATTGTATCTCTGTGCTAATGTGGTATGGCAACTCGAACTGATGTGCGCACGTACAAAGTTCTACGTTGTTGCTGACTAACTGACTGGTGTAATCTTTTAAATTTTTTTTCGGAACAGAATTTGTTGGTAAATATATTATTTTTGTAATTTTATTTTGAAATTTGTTTGTTTTCCCGCGAAAAGCGACTATTTTCACTTTCATATCATATTTCCCAATCGGGAGGACCTGAAATATCATTGGTTCATGGTCTCTATTAATATGCTATTTTGTAACGTTTCCCAATGGTATTTAATTGCTATATATATATACACTTGAGTTGTTCTTGTGGTGGAATGCATTTTCTCTCTTCGGAACTCGGACTTCTGCATGGATTATTTGGTCATTGTATCTCTAAATCTTCATTCCATTCACAGATTTAGGTGAATTCGTAATCTCTTCAAATTATTTTATTTTATTTTAACACATAGATATTGGTACAAGGAGGCACCAAATACATATGCGCCACACAGATCTCATTTGATATGTGTGAGGGCTGTCATACTGTCCGGGTGCCCAAACCGAATCAGGTGGTTTTCTTAAGGGACCACACCCCGAGCCTTCGATCTGAATGTCTGACCCACAAGGCAGTGGAACATCGTGAGGAGATGCAGTCCCATGGTAGCTTGCCGGTGACCAACGATTGGTTCATTCGCCATTTGTTCCTTTAGGATACTGGAGTCAGCCCATGTGAACCATTGGTTTAGGATCCGATTATAGCGCTAGACATTCGCTTTTCATCCTCTCATTTTCGTAAACAACACCCCTGTCACGAGAAGTCAGTGAGTAGGACTTCCCTGGTAGAGTCTGTACACACGTGGCCATGTGAGTGCATTTGGAGAGGGAGAGCGAACTCTCCCCACTCTCGGTCGTTCCAGGGCATTTGGGAGCAATCTCTTCAAATATAACAAAATTTTTCACTAGATTTTATAACTATCTCATTTATAGACTAATTTCTACTGAATTGAACATTTTGATATTACATTTATTGTTATATCATCTTTGCTTATGTAATCAATGCATTTAACATATTAATGCTAATGATTTCGTCTATGAAGCTTTATTTATTAGTATGATACACATCATGAATATTTGATTGCACTGAAACCATGTTATCATATCTTTTTTTGTTGTTGCCAATTGAATTTTATGTATGAACTAATGAAAGGTTTATTAAACTTTTTAATTTTAATAAAATTGAAACAAAATATTACATTCTAAAGTTAATTTATATTATGGACTGTTAATAACTAGGTAATCATTTAGAATAAAAGAGTTGAAATCCTATATAAAGGATCAATTAGTTTGTTTCCCATAAGATCTCAGGTATGCTGTTAAAGGTATGAGAGCGGTTATCACTTCTTGGTTGTCCACATGGTAGAAGGGTTCTTCTGGAGGTACTCGAAAAAGAAATTGAATTAAATGGGGGGGCGGTCTAAGTGACCTGAGAGTGTGATCATGCTGCCCAATGGACAACTGATTGAGGTCAGTTATCCATGACCTTTTTGTGAATAATTTTCACGTTAGCTCTGTAATTGTTAGGACCTTACCACCGGAGACGAATATCCGTGGGTTGAACTTTTTTAACCCCACCCCTCATTGTGGGAAGGCAGCACCACTGTTATGCTGGTTGTCTGAGGGAAATCCCTTACTGCCGTCACACCTCTGTACAGTCAGCAGTACGACTTCGCCCTTCAGACTTTGGGTTTGCTGCTTTTAGACTTACCGTTCTTCAACTGACCTGTCTAGCATGGTAGATCCTTGAGGAACGATTGTTCCAGCCAGTATAACTCGATTGGTTCATCATGATAGGCAAGCCCAACCACTACGTCAAAGTAGCAACAACGGTCGGATATGCTTTACTGATGAATACCATCAAGCACTAAACCTCGGTTCAGAGTTTTCTTTTGACTACCTTTAATGATATTATATCACTAAAAATTATCGGATGTTGAAGCCTGAAGACTACACACTTTTATGAAATTTGGATCATGAGATCTGGATAAAAAGCATGATATATTATGGTCCACTTTTTTTAACTTTAGGTAGTTTATTATAACAGTCAAGTATTCGTATAACAGTAGTGTGTATATAAAATCTTGAGAAAGCTGTCATTCCTTCACGTCATCTCTAAGTGGTTCATACTTAAATAAGGTTATAAGTAATGCAGGTATAAATCTTTCGCAAAGCATCAGTTTACTCAAGATTATATCTATGCTTTGGTGATATATACTAACCAACTAACTTTAAAACTATTATTCTCAAACCGTTTAATAACAGTCAAAGCTTGTTCCCACCTTTAGTTGCTTGGTCTCATGTATACAAGAGCCTGGTTACTTCATTACATTCACGTTTATCATTTCAAAGCGTGTTTTTTAATCATTTCAGACTCGAATAAATTCTTCAAATCTTAATAATTCAATCATGTTAAATTTCGATCCATTAATGAACGTCTCAGAAAGTAAGTCAATGTGGACTTAGTTAATCACCTTAATTGAATACATATTTAACAAGTAATTATGTTAGAATGTTTTTATTCGGTTGCGCCTAATTGTCGCTGTTACGTTTATGTTCCATTCGGGATAGCCTATTGTAATGTTAAACTGACCTACATTGTTTATTTTTATTTATTTTGACACATAGGTATTGGTACATGGAGGCACCAAATACATATGCGCCACACAGATCTCATTTGATATGTGTGAGGGCTGTCATACTGCCCGGATGCCCAAACCGAATCAGGTGGTTTTCTTAGGGGACCACACCCGGAGCCTTTGACCTGAACGTCTGATCCACAAGGCAGTGGAGCATCGTAAGGAGATGCAGTCCGATGGTAGCCGGTGACCAACGATTGGTTCATACACCATTTGTTCCTTCAGGATACTGGAGTCAGCCCATGTATACCATTGGTTTGGGATCCGGTTAAAGCGCCAGACATTCGCTTTTCGTGCTCTCATTTTCGTAAACAACAGTAATGCCACGAGAAGGCAGTGAGTAGGACTTCCCTGACAGAGGCTATATACGCGTGGCCATGTGAGAGCATTTCGAGGAGAGCAGACTCTCCCCACTCTCGGCCGTACCAGAGCATTTGGGGGCTGACCTACATTGAGTGAAACACATTGCAGCTTGATTTAAGAATAGTGAGACTAAAAGCAGCAACCTAAGACCCAAGTAGTACCGCTGTCTGTGCTGGGCTATGACGGTAGTATAATGTTCCAAAGTCATTTAGGGGTCACTCAAATGTTGTATATGAATTATAGTGTTGCCCAATTTCTAAATGTTGATCTGAGCTCAGTCAGCAATAAATGCTTACATACAATCAAGATAAGTTTGTAAAATATGATAATTAACATGTGCTCACTAGTGACTAGCTTCGTGAGGGAATTGTCAGAGTTCTAGTGAGAAGCCGTGACAAGTGGAGCTAATCCGTGTCGGGTAGAGGTAGGTATCTATCTCAGTACAATGGAAGATGGTCGCGCAATTTCGTGGATTGGTTGATGTAAGAAACCAACACTATTGGATGCCGGCTGGCTCAGTGGTCTAGTATATTAAGCGTTCACGCGCGAGACTGAAGACCCTGGGTTCGAATCCCGCGAGCGTGATCGTGGATGCGCACTGCTGAGCAGTCCCATACTAGTACGAAACGGCCGTCCAGTTCTTCCAGGTTTCCAACGGTGGTTAACATCAGTTGATTCATGATCTCAATCAAAATGAAATTATAATTGATCCCAGTTGCATAAGCCAATATCTATCTGAACTCAATAGCTATTTTGATGATGCTTTGGTATTTGAAACGAAATGTAATATGTTCTACTTCCTAAGTGAACATCAACACTGTAAAGCCTGTATCTCTTGTCGATGAATCCAAAGTAGTGTGCAACTGTTCTTCTAGATTCGGTTGCTAGCTCCTATCCACCTCTACTTAAAGAGCCGTCTGACTAATCATATTATCGTGTCAGTTCCCATTGGATGCTTATATGTGAGAATAGACTGATCAATTGTAATGTTTTACATTAACAACGGAGAGATTCAAGCCTTTAAAATTGAATAAAAATGAATAATGTAAATTGTACAAGTTTATAACAAGAAGAAATAATAAATGGTTAGCATGTTTACATCGCTTTATACAACTAAATAAAAGATACTACTATATGGTGAATGGTTTAGGCAACATATTAGCAATTAATGTAATAAAACATTGATATAAAGTTGTGTTTATTATTTATCACCATAGTCACTAATATTATCTGTGTTGTATCTTTCTCTCTCTCTCTCTCTCTCTCTCGGTTTTCATCGATTCTACTCTCCCAACTTTATTTATAATGTATAGGTTATGCTTCCCCGCAGCTTTGTAAATCAATCGATCAACTTTCTGAACAACTAATGTAAGTTTTATTCATAACTCTAAACTACGACTTATATATGCCAATTCATCTACTGAGCTTTTAGCCATATTGATATACGGAGAGCAAACGCAATTGTCTGGCTGTCGTACTAGGTGAGACAGAATCTAGTGACTAGTGTTCGTCTTAACAGTTCGTTGAATATTCATCATTATTCTTCTTACTTTCTTTCATAATGGTTTAGAAAATCGTATTTTGAGTTATTATGTTTTGTGAATGATCACTGCTGGAATTGTGAATAATATGTTAAACTTTGGTCTTATGAAGTTATCCATCATACGATGTAACTCTTTCATAAAGCACAAAATTGTCTCTCAACTCTTGGTGGGGGGGTTGCGAGTTATATGCAGTTAGAGAACTTCTAATACTATCACTCAACTGCCTAGAACTAAGTAGTTGAGATTTACAGTTGGAATCGGTGAATCCATCATCTGAAAGTGAAGTACTGTAACCTCTAAACTACTGTATTATATCAATCGGCATATGAGTTTACGTCCGCCACCTTTTTTTATAATAATGACATTTTAATGTTAACGTGATTTTCACTACGCGTTTAGATGAATTCTATTTTGTCAGCTGAATTTCTTTTTCCATTTCTTAGCACAATAACTCCTGAATCGTCTCATAATAATACTACAATCAACACATCATATTATAATCGTACAGGTCATTTAATAAGTCCTATTGGTAATGAAGAAATGATTAACATCACTACAGCGTCACTTTCAGTGATAACAACAACAACAACAACAACGTCATCGTCAATATCGACAACTGAATCAACTTTGGCACCTCTCTCATCTCATGTCGCTATTGATAAGTTTAATTCATCTTGTGATGATGTAATTCAATGTATTACAACTACAGTTCCTGTTAAAACAACTTGTTCTACAGTTGTTGAATTACTTAATTCATCTTCTTCTATACTTACGAACAAATCTTTTACAACCGGTGTAGCTGTCACAACAATTCCAAATACTACCACTTTCTATTCACCATGGAGACATCGTAGTGTTTTAAATCAAGCTTTAGGTGGAGGAGATGGTGATGATGATGATGGAGGAGGAGGAAACAGTTCACCGGAATGGTCATCTTTTTCAATACCCAATGATAATAGATTGCACGAAATCAATATCATACAGCAAGGTCAATTCGAATACAATAATGATAACAGTGATAATAATTTGTGCAAGAATGTTGCTGATCATAATAATAATAATAAGGAAGAATATGAATCGAATACACGAAACATTCAAGAGAATTCTGAAAATGTTCATAATTTTCATAAATCTATTCATAAAACAACAAACTATTCCGAGTTAGATCTTCTTGTCAATATGTTAGATCGTGTTGAAATGAAAGATGATACTATGCAAGAAAATAATAAATCAACAATTGTAACACAACTTGTTCAAGATTGTGATTTGGCTATGAATGAATGTAAGTTTTTTCAATTATTATAGTTTTATCACTTAGTAACATCATTTTAACAAGTATTAGAAAGGAGAAAGCATTGGGCAGATATTTTGTCATGATATTTGATAATTTAGAGGTGAACATTTAAACTCGACTAGATTTTGTCAACTTGCGTTATTTGTGGCGTAGGCGAGATATCCGTCTATCAAACAAAGGATGGGTTCACTGCGCAGCAGTTCGTTTCATCCTACTTTATGGCAATGAAACATGGCCGGTAAGTGTAGAGGATATTCGTAGGTTACTAGTATTTGATCACAGATGTCTTCGAAACATTGCTCGTATATCGTGGGTCCACCGAGTAAGTAACTCAGTTGTTAGGAAACAGGTACTAGGTAAGGGTGGCAAATCAATTGATGAATTAGTGAAACTTCATCAGTTGAGATGGCTGGGACATGTGTTACGTATGCCCGATCACCGACTGCCCCGACGTGCGATATTTTATGGTGTAGGAGTAGGTTGGAAGAAAGCTAGACCAAAACATGGCACAAATCCATGAAGTCACTCACAAGTGGGTTGAGCCATGTTGGTAGGTGTATACTACCTGGTTGGGGTCCGCAAGACGATAGCAACCGATGGTTAGAGACCTTGAATGACATGGCTCAAAATCGTTTGCAATGGCACAACTGTATCCACTCTCTGTGTTCTCTGAATCTCTTATGTTCTGAATTCTTCATGTTCTTCATTTTCTTTCCAAATCTATTTCACTGGATTATACTCCTTGAATAACATCATCAAACCCTAATGTTCCTTATTACTACTTATACTTTCATTACCTCTACCACTACGGGATTTGAATCGATAACTTAATCTCTGTGCCAATGTGGTATGGCAATTCGAACTGATGTATGTACGTACGAAGTTCCACGTTGTTACTGACTGAACATTTATTTCTATTTATTTATTTAAACACATTAACATTAGTACAAGAAGGCATCATATAGATATACGTCACATAAATCATTCGATTTGTGTGTGATCTATGATATTGTCCAGATGCCCAGACCGAAGCGGGTGATTCTCTTAGGGGGCCACCCCCAGAGCATTCGATCTAAACGTCTGATCCACAAGGCAGTGGATCAACGTCAGGAGATGCAGTCTTATGGTAGCCGGTGATCAATAATTTGTTCATACCTCATTTGTTCCCTCAGGATCCTGGAGTTCATATGCAACATTGTTTTGGAATCAGAGTTTTCCAACTCCCCTAGGTGGACTCTACGCTAAGACTATAATTTAGGATGGATGGACCAATCAGGTCTTAAATTTTGCAGCGAAATTAATGAATTCATTTAACCAAATTGTGTTTTGGCATTATAGTTGATATGAGTTCGTGATGGAAACCCTGAATCTGATTTTTAACCCTAACTATCAATTGTAAATGAGAAATCTGACTGTTTTACAACCCTCATTTAGTCCTAGTCAGTAGGTGTCCATTCTCAAGGTCACTTCCGCGTCGCTGAAAGATCGTGCATAAATTATAGTCTCACCGACTCTCCGTGTCCACCAACCCGGTAAAAGCGCCGAACATTCGCTTTTCGTCCTTTCAATTTCGTAATTAACACTCCTTTGGCGATATGGCAGTGGTTGTATGTGAACATTTACGATGTTATCATTTACTAAATTCATTATCTTATGGTCTTTCAGAAAACATTTAATGTTTATTACACAACTTGATTGTAATGCTATGAACCTCATAACTTCATATATTTATATATATTATAAGGTATTTACTCAATATAATCAGTATAATATCAGAAGGGCTTTCGTGAATATTATAGAAATTTTAATAGTTCATAAGTCGATTGAAGCTAGAACACCATGGAAATGCAGGAAGCAATGGGTCTGTTTTGAAATAGTAACTCACTGAAGATAATGAAGGATTTGTCACTGAATTTCATGGATTGGTTGAAGTTAGACATTAACATCGTTGGTTGCCGGTCAGCTCAGAGGATAAACGTTCACACGCGAAACTTATCTATGTTCGGTACAAATTTCGTCAGGCGGACATCGTAAATGCGCACTACTGAAGAGTTCTACAATAGAAAAAAATGACCATCCAATGCTTTCAACTTCTCCATAGTAATCCAGCTTCAATTGACTCATAATCTCAACGACTAGATATTATTATTACTAGTACTACTACAAATAAACTGTACATATAACATCTAGTGTATATTTGTTCCACTTAATTAAATACAAATGTAGTTTTAACATTTTTCTATGTCAATTACTTTCAACCAAACATCAGCCTTTACACAAAATAGCTGTGTATATGTGTGTGTGTGTATTGTTGCTATTGTTGCTGTTGCTGTTGTTGTTGTTGTTGTTATTCCATTAGAAGAAAATGTAAATTTATTAAAAGAGTTATGTTTCTGTTTGTAAAACAACAACAAAAAAATATTATCAGGTCATATAGATGGACGTTAGAAACAAACAAAAAGAAAAGAATAAAACTTTCTATAATTATGTATCTATGGAATGTATTTTAATAATGGTATGATTTATTAGAACATAATAAGTCTATCTAACTGATTTATTAAATTTAACATTTTCTATATGTAATTATATTATTATATCTTTGTGATGATAAAGTGATGATTTGTTTGCGTTTGTTACTCTGAATGGAGTATAGACCTCTGATAAACATTCTCGAATCCACTCTTTGTTCTAGGCCTTCCTTTCTAGTTCTAACCGATTGTTGTTCATTCTTCTCATGTCTGTCACCATTTCTCGGCGTAATGTGTTCTTTGGTCTTCTTCTCCTCCTTCGACCTTGAGGATTCTATGTGAGGACTTGCCTTGTGACACATTTCGATGCTTTCCTCAATGTGTGTCCTATCCACTTCCAGCGCATTTCCTTGATTTCTTCCTCCGTTTGTTCTCACCCACAGTTGGTTGTTGGTGATCATGTCTCGTCAACGGATCCGAAGTATTTAGCATAGACAAGTGTTAATAAACACTTGTATCGTCTGGATGATGGCTTTCGTAGTTTTCCAGGTTTCCGCCCCATACAGTAGAATAGTCTCGACATTTGTATTGAAAATTATGACTTTGGTGTTAGTTGCCAATTGTTTTGAGTTCCAGATGTTCTTCAATTGTAGATATTCTGCTCTTGTTTTGACGATTTGCACCTGCACATTTGCATCAGATCCACCGTGTTCATCGATGATGCTGTTGAGATATGTAAAGGTTTTTACATCTTCTAAAGCTTCTTCGTTAAGTGTGATTGGATTGGTGTGTGCTGTGTGTATATCAGAGAATCTTGCTTTTTCCTTTGTGTATGCTGAGACTTACTGCTGCTGCTACACTGGTCGTCTTCTCCTGCATTTGTTGTTGCGTGTGCGATAGAAGAGCCAGATCATCTGCGAAGTCTAAACCGTCCTGCTGCATCGTAACTGTCCACTGTATCCCGTGCTTCCCCTCAGTTGTTGACGTCTACATAATCCAGTCGATCTCCAGAAGAAAGAGAAAGGGTGAGAGTAAGCAGCGTTGCTCGACACCGGTCTTTACTTCGAACGATTCTGTTAGCTGTCTTTGTTGCACGATTTTTCATTTTAATTCATCATAAGTATTCGGTATGATATTGACTATCTTCTGAGGCACGCCATAGTGTCGAAGATACCTCCATATTTTTGTCCTGTCAACGCTATCAAATGCTTTTCGTAGTCAATGAAGGTGACGTAGAGTAATGAATTCCATTCAATTGATTGTTTCACAATGTTCCGTAGTGTGGCGATTTAGTCTGTACACGATCTATCCTTACGGAATCCAGCATGTCGGTCTCGAAGTTGGGCGTCCACGGAGTCCTTCATTCTGTTTGACAATACCCTGTTGAAGACTTTTCTTACTATTGAGAGAAGAGTGATGCCTCTTTAGTTATCACATTTGCTGAGATCGCCTTTCTTTCGTATCTTGATCAGGTGTCCTTCTATCCAGTCTGTTGGTACTTGTTCTTCATCCCAAATCTTACCGAAGAGTATGTGGAGTATCTTTGCAGTTACTGGTTCCGCTGCTTTGCCGCTCTTGATTTGATCTGTTCAGTTGTTGGTGAGTCAACATTGATTAGGAGGTCCGTGGGTGCTACTTCGATGTTGGGTGGGTTGAGTGGGGCTGGTCGATTCAAGAGTTCTTCGAAATGCTCTACCAACCTATTTCGGTGTTCTTCAATGTTAGTGATTACCTTGCCTTCCTTGCTTTTCACTGGTCGTTCTGGTTTACGGTGATTTCCAGCGAGTATTCAGCTTGCGCCTTGGCTTTTTATGCTCTTGTTCCTCCTATCTTGGATCATATCCATTGTATTAACAGTGATCCATTCCTTGTGGTGGTTTATTGTGGCCCAGACATTTTGACATTTTGAAGTGACTGCATGCTTTATCCCTTTCCGGTTGCTCTACATAGTAGTTCCCTCTCAATTGAGTAGATCGTGAAATGCCTGGAACCTATTGCTGAGGGCTATCTTGAATTCTTTGAGTTTGTCAGTATCCCGAAGAAAAGCCCTATTAAACTTTTGTGATGTTTTCCGCCTCGTTGTCCAGTGCTTCTTTAGTTTCAAATTCATCTTGGCGACCAGCAAGTGATAATCTTATACTATATCATTTCCTCTCTTGATTCTCACATCCTCCATCGTCCTCCTGAAATTTTTGCTGATACAGATATGGCTGATTTGGCTCTGTGTAATGTGATCTGGTGAATTCCATGTGGTTTTGTGTATGCGTTTATGTGGGAATATAGTGCCGCCTATAACCATTTTATTGAAAGCACATAGGTTTGCAAATCTCTCACCATTTTCTTTCCTTTCTCCTAGTTCATGTCGTTCCATGATATCTTTATATCCGGTGTTGTCCATTCCAACATTGATGAAGTCTTTTTTTGAACACTTCTCGATGATTGACTGCAGCCTATCATAGAAATGATCTTTAACGTCTTCTTTGTAGTCGTTGGTATGTGCATAGCTTTGAATGACGTTCATTGAAATGCTCTTTTCCTTTGTTTTGAAGCAAACTTTGATAATCCTTGGTCCATGAAATTCCCTTCCTATAAGTGCATTTTTTGCTTGTTTGGATAGCATCAATGCAACTCCTTGTGTAGTTGGGGCTTCTTCTTCTTCATGGCTGGAATATAACAGAAGCTCTGTTGAGGCTAATTTCCTCTATATCTGACTCTAATAAATAATATCCCCGTTAACTAAATATTTAATGCAGGCTTCTTCAGGTTAAAGATTTGGGGAGTGGCTTTTAAGAAAAGCACCTGTTTCGGTTTGGGCATTCGGACAGTGTCTCAGTTGCCACACAAATCGAATGATTTATGTAGCGCATGTATATTCGGTTCCTCCTTGTACCAATGTTTGTGAAAAGTAGAATATATATATATATATATATATGTCAACAATTAATCGTGGATGATCATTGCTGGGGAGTCCCATACTAGGACGAGACGGCCGTCCAGTGCTTCCATGTTTTCCATGATGGTCTAGCTTCAATTGATTCATGATTTCAACTAGTAATATATAAAAATAGCATATATTTTCAGAGCATAACTTTAAATATTTCATACAGTCAGTTATGGGCTTAATTTATTGCACTGAATTATACTCCTTGAATAACATCTTCAAACCGTAATTTTTCTGATTACTGCTTATACTCGACTACCTCTACCACTACGAGGTTCGAATCAACAACTGCATCTCTGTGCTAATATGGTATGGCAATTCGAACTGATGTATGTACGTACGATGTTCCACGTTGTTACTGACTGACTAACTTTGTGGATATTATGGTAATTTTAATAACCACTTATTAATGGTTAACCATTAATAGTTAAGCACTCACGCGCAACAGTGACAGTTCCTGGGTTCGAATCTCGCTAAGTGGGATCATGAATATGCATTGTTCTACGTTCTACTTTGTTACTGATTGACTTTATTTTAACAGAATTTCAAATAAATATACATACTACTATTTAGTAATATTTATCAATAATTCATTCTTTAATTTATTTTAGATAAAACTCCAAAAATTCAATCATCTAAATCTGTTAATTCATCTTTAACATTTGATAAAACAAAATCTGATCATCTATTGAACAATAAGAAATTAGTTGATACACCACAAATATCAAACTTAACATCAACACCATTTCTTTTAAATAAGTCAATATGTATCCCGGAAGAATTTCAACAAATTCATATATTAGATGTCCATCCATGCAATACACCTGAATGTACTGTCCATCATCATCATCATCATCATCATCATACAGATAATAATACTACACCATATACTAAAGATACTGGTGGTATATCTGGATTTTTAACAAAAGCTGCAAGATCTGTTTATTCACGTCTTATGTCATCTGGTTCATCACAGTTAGCATTGAAAGATAATTCATTAGTAAATAAGCAACAGAGTATCGTTGATTCATCGAAATCATTCATTGAATCTTGTTCTGTAAGTAATAAAGTTGAATCAATTAAAAAGGAATTCAGTATGGAACAGGAAAAACATGAAAGAGAAGAAGAACAACAACAACAATCTTGCTTAAATGTAACATCACCATTTGTCCAATCTGAACAAATCTCTCAACAATTATTAGATGATGAAGAAGCATGGAAAACAGTCAGTTCCGTACATGATCTAAATGGTTCAATGGAGATATCTAGTAAAATGGAGATAACTGGTGACTGTGCTGATGGTGATGGTGATGGTGCAATATTGTTAGGAGATAAAGAAAATACAGAATGTGTACAGGTCTATAAGGTAAGGTAGTTCACCTATTTAACTGTCATTTTTTTTTATACACTTCTAAGAGCATTTTAATAGAACCATTGTTTTGTGTATTTGGAGGCTAACATGTATAACAATAGTTGTCTTCGTTTAACGATAATAACAAGAATTATCGTATTACACAGTACTGCATAATTGATCCAAATTATAAATGGTATAAGCTGCTTTATCTTCAATCACTATAAGATTTTAGATCAGTTCGAGTTTTACAAATGTTTCTTATTGCATTAAATGTGAACTAGATCAAGGTATTGGAGACAATTTCCAACCAAACATACCATCTTAATGGGATGATAACAAAAAAGTACCGTACGTGATGGGCTTCAAACATTTATCACTACAGTTCTATAGTTATGTACTTAAGTCGTCAAGATAGTGTGTCGCTCAATTTCGTGTATTAGTTGAAGTTAAACATTAACACCGTTGGATGCCGACTCAGTGGTTTAGTGGTTTAGTGCTCGCGCGCTAAACCAGTAGGTCCTGGGTTCGAGTCTCGCAGGAGGCGAGATCGTAGATGCGCACTGCTGAGGAGCCTCACAACAGGACGAAACAGCAGTCCAGTACTTCCAGGTTTTCCATAGTGGTCTAGCTTCAACTGACACACGATCTTAACCATTGAAAGATCATTCTTAACCTAGTTTCCTTTTCAGATTCTTTAAAATGAAATATCTTATCGTCATATGAACAGCCGAAAAGTGGCAATTGCCTCCATACGTTTATTAACCAGTCAGTAACAACGTGGAACTTCGTACGTACGTACATCAGTTCGAGTTGCCATACCACATTAGCACAGAGATTCAGTTATCGATTCAATTAAAACGAATAGTATAAAAATCATCCATATAACATATTACATAATGGAGACTAGTTTTTTGTCAAAGAATAAATAATGTGGAACATATACATAGTGCTAAATGAAAATGTGTCATCACATCACCATAGATGCGCTAAGTGTGTGTGTGTGTGAATACATACAAGATTAATGTATACATAATGTATTAATTAAAATAAATGCATCATGAAAAAAACCTGCAATGTTTACACAGTTAAGAAGAATAGAGAAGTGTATTGATGATTTCTGCGAACCAATATTATTGATCAGTTTGATGCTTATTTTTGAAGTTCTGGTGAATGAGGAATTATTTATACAAACTTAGGTTCTAATTCTATTTGATTTACATAATGGCGACAGGATGTGCTAGTGTTTTTTTAAAGGATGAGGTTGTTGATCCCATTTTCAACGCTTCTTTACTCGGGATTGTGACCGGCGGTAACCTTCAAAGAGCTTCGGGTGGAGAAGCTCTAGAAGAGGTAGAAACTTTCAATTACCTAGGCAGTATTATCGATAAACAAGAATGGTCTCATGAAGACTTAAATGCAAGAATTGTCAAAGCATGTGCAAATCTCTACAGTTGAAGAACATATGGAACTTGAAACAACTTTCAGCCAGCATCAAATTTAAAATCTTCAATACAGTTGTCATGACAGTTGTACTGTAAAGAGCTGAAACATCGAGAGCCATTACAACCACTGTCAGTGTTAAAAATTAGATTTAGGGTTTTCATCATGAACTGACATCAGCTTTAATGTTAAAACACTATTTGACCAAATGAATTAATTAATTTCGCTTCAAAATTCATGACCTGTTGTCATAAATCTGATTGGTTCATCCATCTTAAATTATAGTCTTAGCGTAGAGTCCACCTAGGGGAGTTGGAAAACTCTGGTTCCAAAACAATTTATTTATTATTTATTTGAACACATAAATATTGGTACAAGGGGGGCACCAAATACATATGCGCCACACAAAACAATCATAATTTGAAGAGAAGGAGAAAAGAGAAAAAAAAAGTAATGAACGTGGGGAATTATAAAAAAAAGGGAGAGAGAGAGAACAATGGTGGGGGAAACGGAAAGGTACAATCAGAAGAGATCTTTCAGTTAAGGAAGATACAACCACTTTTTATGAAGAAAGTAAGAGGTTACAGCACGATCGCCACTGGCTTCTATTCTGAGCCATATCTGATAACGTCTCTAGCCACTGCGTTACACTATGATGAACTATCTGCTTATAGATTCCAAAACAATGTTGCATATGAACTCCAGGATCCTGAGGGAACAAATGACGTATGAACAAATTATTGGTCACCGGCTACCATGAGACTGCATCTCCTGACGTTGATCCACTGCCTTGTGGATCAGACATTTAAATCGAATGCTCCGGATGTGGCCCCCTAAGAAAATCACCCGCTTTGATATGGGCATCTGGATAGTATCATAGCTCATACACAAATCGAATAATTTATTTGACGTATATCCATTTGGTGCCTTCCTGTACTAATGTTTATGTGTTGAAATAAATAAAACTACAAATGATTATATCTTTCACTAAGCACTTCTCTATGTTATACAGTTGATAAATGTATAAATATTATTCTATAATACATCATGGAAACAAATAAACAGTTTTAATTGAATCAATCTATGCCAGACTATCATAAACTTAATGAAGATAATAACTAAACTAATAAGCTAAACAATTTTACTTATAATGAATTGATTAATGTAAATGATGGACTTCGTATCAGGCAAATGTAATGTACTTGTATAGAGTTGTTAGTGTTTACAATAAGACTCAAATTTAGAATTTAATACATTTACAAGTGGATAATATTTAACATTGTTCTAATTGAATAATCTTTCCAAACTTCAACTCATCTAACCATTATATTTATGTGAATGTGTTTGTATCAGATGGAATGTTCTTTTCATTATCATGAATTAGTATTGTAGTGAATAGACTAAGACTTTGTTTGTTTTTGCATTTTTATACCAATTACATTTTGTTTTCATTCTTTAATGTATGATCTTCTGGTCTCTCTCTCTCTGTTGCCAAATATTTTGTTCATGAATAACATCATATATTACTGATTTCTATATAAGTAGTACACAACACAGTATCATCAATTTGAGAACCATTATGTATTAAAAAGCGTTTAACATGTTTTATATCTATGTATATGCCACCAAATACCTTGGTACGGTTGAGAGTGGGGAGAGTCCACTCTCCCTCTGCAAATGCTCTCACATGGCCATGCGTTTACAGCCTCTGACAGGGAAGTCCTACTCACTGTCTTTTCGTGGTGGGGGTGTTGTATACGAAAATGAGGGGACGAGAAGCGAATGTCTGGCGCTTTAACCGGATCCCAAACCAATGGTATACATGGGCTGACTCCAGTAACCTGAAGCAACAGATGGCGCATGAACCAATCGTTGGTCACCGGATGGTTACCATGGGACTGCATCTCCTTACGATGCTCCACTTCCTTGTGGATCAGACGTTCAGGTCAAAGGCTCCGGGTGTGGTCCCCTAAGAAAACCACCTGATTCGGTTTGGGCATCCGGGCAGTATGACAGCCCTCAAACATATCAAATGAGATCTGTGTGGCGCATATGTATTTGGTGCATCCTTGTACCAATATCTATCTGTTAAAATAATAATATAATAATAATAATAATAATAATAATAATAATAATCTATGTATATAGTTTAGTGTGGATCACAGTGATGCACATCCATTTACTCTGTATTTTTCTTTATATCTTTTCAAAGCATATTCTTAATGTTTAGTCTCTCTTATTATGATTCAAACTACTATTTCTTTGATTTTTTTACTATGCACATTTACAATTATTTATTTCTTTATTTATTTTAACACATATATATTGGTACAAGCAGGCACCAAATACATATGCGCCACACAGATCTCATTTGATATGTGTGAGGGCTGTGAAACTGACCGGGTGCCCAAACCGAAATAGGTGGTTTTCTTAGGGGACCACACCCGGAGTCTTTGACCTGAATGTCTGACGCACAAGGCAGTGGAGCATCGTAAGGAGATGCAGTCCCATGGTAGCCGGTGACCAACGATTGATTCATACGCCATTTGTTCCTTCAGAATACTGGAGTCAGCCCATGTGCACCATTGGTTTAGGATCCGATTGTAGCGCTGACCATTCGCTTTTCGTGCTCTCGTTTTCGTAAACAACAGTAATGCCACGAGAAGGCAGTGAGTAGGACTTCCCTGACAGAGGCTATATACGCGTGGCCATGTGAGAGGATTTCGAGAGGAAGAGCGGTCTCTCCTCACTCTCGACCATACCAGGGCATTTGGGGGCACATTTTTAATTGTCATTTCTCTATTTGAATATGTCATTGTGACGTTTATTATGACTGATATAATTATATATACAACTCGTTAGTTAAATTAATTAAAAGATTATTGATTGAGATTTTGATTCGATTGATGTTTGACCACCACCATCGAAAACTTGAAAGTACTGGACGGTTGTTTCGTCCTATTGTGGGACTCCTCAGCAGTGTTCGCCCACGATCCCATTTGCGGGATTAGAACTCAAGGTCTTTAGTCTCAAGTGTGAACGCTTAACCTACTAGACTACTAGGACAAAAGGGGCGGTCCAGTGCTTCCAGGTTTTCAATCGTGCTCTAACATCAATCAATAACTTAATAATCTTCACAATCCTCACTTGATAAAAGATTATTATTTTTCTTAATAATTTGATTTCGTCTTATCCATATTTCTTCAGATTATACATGATGATATTGATGATGTTAGCATGAAAAGTGAAAATAATTCATCAACATCAAATATATCCCGTTCACCATTAAAAGAATTACTTAATAATACAAAAGATGTTAATACATCTGAGAACAATATTATTACTATGAATGATTTTGGTAATCATCAATCATGTCATGAACATAATGAAACTTCTAGTACTACTACTACTACTACTACCATCACTACTGTTCCTTCGGTATCTTCTTCGTCGTCCCCTACAAAATCTAAATTATCCATTTCGATTAATAATAATAATAATAATAGTGTAATTGAGAATCCTGAAGATATTGAAATAACCAAACAAAACTTACGTGATGAAATTATTAAGTTGAAAAATGAAGCTGATTTATGGAAGTAAGTTAATTTCATGAGTTTGTTCTTTTTTCTTTTTTCTTTTATGTAAGTTGAAAGTATTACCATCAACTTATGTTTGTATTATTACTATGATAATAGTGAGGATAATAATACTTGCTTTATTCTTTACCACATATTTGATCTGCTACATTATATGAGCATTCCATGTACCTAAATTAATGATTGCTCTGGGTATCAGCCTCGTGAATTCCGAAGGAACTCGGCTTTCACCATGTGATGTCATAATTCTTCTAAATGAAGATTTTCTAATTCTCAGGGCAGAGTTTAAATGATTTGAATTATTTTTTCTGGTTAGCGTTGTTTTAGTAAGTTATTTCTCTACGAGGTGTGGTCGCTAACCATATTCAGAACCCTACTCCTTTTTCTGGAATTGTGAACTGCAGTAACCCTAGAGGTTCTCCAGTTAGAGTTGATCTTTCTTTTCTATCGAACACACAACAACAAATGCAGAAGACGACCAGTGTAGTAGCATCAGTAAATCTCAGCATACACAAGCGGAAAAACAAGATTCTCTGATACAATACAGCATACAACAATCGACTCACACTTGACGAAGATTTGGAAGATGCAAAAGCCTTTACATATCTCAACAGCATCATTGATGAATACGGTGGATCTGATACAGATGTGAAGGCGTGGATCAGCAAAGCAAGAGCAGCATATTTACAACTGAACAACATCTGGAACTCAAAACAACTGTCTGTCAACCAACACCGAGGTCAGTAATTTCAATACAAATGTCAAGCCTGTTCTACTGTATCGGGCAGAAACTTGGAGAACTACAAAAGCTATCATTCAGAAGACACAAGTGTTTATTAACAATTGTCTATGCACAGTACTTCGGATGTGTTGACCAGACATCAGCACATTGGGGAAAACACCCAACTGCATCACAAGGCAAGCCCTCACATGGAATCCTCAAGGCCAGAGGAAAAGAGGGAATACCAAGGAACAAATTACGCCGAGGAATGGGGACAGACATGAGAAGAATGAAGAACAATTTGATGGTACTAGAAAGGAAGTCCCATAACAGAGTGGGTTGGAGAAAGTGTAACTTGAAAAAAGACCTTGCTCGAATTTTCCATGCCAATTACAAAATAGTTATTAGCTGTGTTATAACACTTTCAGAATGAATATCTGCTAGATTAATTGTCGGTTGTTGATCCGTTGTTAAAGTTCTCTATCATACGTTTAAATCCTATCTTAACTACTAATTCAGTTTGAACAATTGCCCCCCTTTCCAGCCAAACAAGTTGGTGAGGTCTGGTAGGTTCTTCTGGAGAGAAACAGGCCACTTCGAAGCACGAAACAACTACCGGGGCTAGAATAGCTGTTTTTGCAACCAATTGAAGTTTGCCCCGTGAGGAGCAACCACGTACATTAAATGCACCCCTTTTTTGAATTTTTTTTATCGTTTATCCATCCAAGAGTAGGTGCGCTGTGTTTCCTTGTGGGGTTCGTGATCGGTTTGAGGGTAACGGTCGATTGGGTGATTAGCCCGATCTGTACCACCCGGGTTACCGCTCACGTTAGTTTATGGGTCATCCGTCCCACTATCCAGGAGGCACGACGCGGACGTGTGCGATCACTGATTGCCAGCTTATTAAGTGAAGACCGCAAGGCTTCAGTGTCACCACATAATAACACAATATCATCCGTATATTCAAGGTTGAACAGTCTTTCTCCAGGTAACAGATCCACATCATCAATACCTACTTCCATTGGATTTGTTTATAGAACTTCATTGACGGTAGTGATGAGCCATTACTATTGGGGTTCAACCGTATCAGGTGTGAAGCCGTTATCCACCGAAGATAATCGAAAATGGTTGCGCAACATTGTAGATTGATTGAAGTTAGACATTAACTCCATTGTAACTCGGCTCAATGGTCTAGTGGTCAATCGTTCTCGCAAAACCGAATATTCTGGGTTTGAATTCCGCGTGCAGGATTTTGGATGCACACTGCTAAATAGTCCCATACTAGGATGAAACGACCGTCTAGTACTTCCTGATTTTCTATGATAATCAGTTCAAAGAGATTTTAGTATTGACTTATCACGAATAGGGCAAAATGCTTTGCCTCAATTCCAAAGCTTGACACATTCTATCTGTTTAATTCACATTGTTCTAATTCATGCTTATAATTGTTCAGTTTTCAGTAGCTGAATTGTATTATTATTCAATGATGTAGTATAAGACACATAAAAACAAAGTCAAGTACCTTAATCTGTATTTGATAAGTGCTCATTTACATGTGGTGATGAACACTTAATCTTCATCAGATACCTCAATTCATTATAAATTTCTTTTGAAATGTTGATTCTTTTCACATGTTTACAACTTATCAGAAACAGATCTTTACATTAATATTATGTATTGGTTCCTTAATTCAGATCGATACTTAAAGATTATCAATCTACTCATAACAAAGCTGAAACAATTCTATCAGAATGTCAATTAGTAGAAACTACAAAACTGATACATTTAATTGAAGAACGTAATGAAACAATGGATCAAGCTAAACGAATGCTTGCTGTATATAAGGATATGATGCATCGTGTTGAACGTGCACAAAATGTATTACAATTTGCAAAGAAGGTTAGTTATAAATAATGTGTATACCTGGTAGAAATGATCATTGGTCAGTATCAGAACGGTTTTTTTTTGTATATTATAGTAATTTCAATAGTTTAGATCATAAGACAATTGAAACTAGACCACCGTGGAAAACCTGGAAACATTGGACAGTTGTTTCATTCTATTGTGGGACTCCTGAATAGTGCGTATCCACGATCGTGCCTCGCAAGATTCCAAGAAGTTCTATTGTTACTCCACATAATTGAATTTTAGATGTTTTTCCCTTTTCTATTATTGATGTATTTTTTTATTTATAATCTGAAAGCACATGGGCTCCAGTATCCTGAAGGAAACAAATGGCGTATGAACCAATTATTGGTCACCGGCTACCATGGGATTGCATCTCCTGACGTTGCTCCACTGCCTTTTGGATCAGACCTTTAAGTCGAAGGCTCCGGGTGTGTCACCCTAAAAAAACCACCTGCTTCGGTTTGGGCACCCGAGCAGTATCACAGCCCTCATACATATCAAACGAGATCTGTGTGGCGCATATCCATTTGGTGCCCTCTCGCACCAATATTTATGTGTTCAAATAAATAAATAAATAAAATACGTAATGAATTTTTAGAAATAACGTATTAGATCAGTTTAATTTACAAGTTGAAATTATCAATTTTATGTTCTGGTATTCATTTCACAATGTTGTGAATGTGTAAGAAATTATTATTATTATTATTATTTGAACACATAAATATTGGTACAAAGGTGCACTAAATACATATGCGTCACACAAGTCACTTGATTTATGTATGGGCTTTCATACTACCGGGAGATTTCGACCTATAGGCCTGACCCAAAAGACAGTGGAGCAACGTTAGGAGATGAAATCCTATAGTAGCCGGTCACCAACGATTGGTTCTTACGCCATTTATTCCTTCTTGATGTTAGGCTGGCTGTAAAAGATCGGATCTACAATGCGTCAGTGAGAGCAGTTTTGCTCTATACTTGTGAAACCGGGTCACTCTGAGTTGAAGATGTTAGACAACTCTCTGTGTTTGATCATCGCTGTCTCTGAGCGGTTGCTGACATCTAGTGGCAACAGCATGTTAGTAATGTACAGGTTCAGCATCGTGTGTTCGGGCGCCGAAGCGATAATCCAATTGCTGTCACCATCTTGAAACTTCGACTTCGGTGGCTTGAACATGTTCTACGAATGTCATCCCAGAGAATTCCTCGTCGTGCATTATTTGCCGACGCTTGGACTGGTTGGAAAAAGCGGAGAGGTGGTCAGTATATGACATGATGTTGTGGTATGAAAGAGCTTTAAAGGGCTGGCTTCTATTGAACCTTGACGACTCCCTGGCTGGGATCCGAGAGATGTTGCGACACAGTGGCTAGAGATGTTATCAGATATGGCTCAGAATAGAAGCCAATGGCTTCATAAAAAGTGGTTGTAAATTCCTTAGCTGAAAGAATTCTTTCTGATCGTTATTATTATTCTCTCTTTTTCTTCTTATACTCACCTTACATTCTTTTTTTCTTCCCATTCTCACTGTTTTGTGTGGCGCATATATATCTGTTGCCCCTGTAGTGTCTGTCATTATGTTAAGCCCAAATACCTTATTATTCTAACTTTCGGACAGCCCATTCTATTCATTCTATTTGAGTCACATTCTGACCTTGTTAATTATTCACTTATTAATATCTTGACTGTCTTTATATGAGCGCGTAGGTGTATGTACACTTCTTATCCCACTGTTCATCACATGTCTGTAATTTATCTTTGTGTGCTTACAAATATTGATTAACGCTTGGTTAACAGGGTGTTGGCTTATCAGCCATCTCCACCGCACGCCAATTTAGCTTCGATTTCTCATCTTCGCATTGTTCCTCAGTTCGTTTGTCTAATCAACAATTATACATAATATATGCATTCAAAACTCCATTCTCGTTATTTGACTTATTTAATTCTATTATTAACTAACGCGATTTAAGTCAATGATTATATACGAGGATAGGCGATAGCAAGTCAGTCAGTCAGTCAGCTGCAACGTAGGACCAGGCACGTATATGCATCGGTCCAAGTTGCCATACCGCATTAGCACAACAAGATGAACACCGGATTCATAGAAATAGTTAATTCAATGGTGGTAATATATAGAAGAAAGATTGTGTATAAGGAGATAGTACAGGAAGAAATGGTTTGAATAATTTTTTCTGGTTAGCGTTTTTTTAGCGAGTTAGTTTTCTACGGGATGGGGTCGCTAACCCCATGCCCAACCCTCCTCCTTTATCCGGGCTTGGGACCGGTAGTAGCCCCCGGAGAGGGACTCCAGGCCTGAGGAAAGCACCGAACTGCGTCACAAGACAAGCCCTCATATGGAATCCTCAAGGTCGAAGGAGGAGAGGAAGACCAAAGAATACATTACGCCGGGAAATGGAGATAGATATGAGAAAAATGAACAAGAATTGGATAGAACTAGAAAAGAAGGCCCAGGACAGAGTGGGTTGGAGAATGCTGGTCGGCCGCCTATGCTCCATTGGGAGTAACAGGCGTAAGTAAGTAAGTACAGGAAGAAAGAATTAGTTCCTAGAAAGAAAGATTTGAAGTGATTTTAATCTCTTAGTTTATAGGAAGACATTCACACGATCAAATTGGAGTCAGATCATGGGGGTCACTAAATCTCTTTCTACCAATATTTATGTGTTCAAATCAATAAATAAATTAGGATGTGGGAGCTCATGTGTATCCATTATTTGAAAGTAGAGTTTTCCGATTCCCTTTGATTTATTTATTTATTTTTATTTTAACACATAGATATCGGTACAAGAAGGCACCAAATACATATGCGCCACACAGATCTCATTTGATATGTGTGAGCTCTGTGATACTGTCCGGGTGCCCAAATCGAACCAGGTGGTTTTCTTAGGGGGCCACACCTGGAGCCATTTGTTCCCGCAGGATACTGGAGCCAGCCCATGTGCACCATTGGTTTGGGGTTCGGTTATAGCACCGGATATTCGCTTTTCGTCCTCTCATTTTCGTGAACAACACCCCCGTCACGAGAAGGCAATGAGTAGGACTTCCCTAGCAGAGGCTATATACGCATAGCCATGTGAGAGCATTTCGAGAGGAGGAGTGGACTCCACCCCCCCCCCCCTCATTCTCGACCATACCAGGGCATTTGGGGGCTTTGATAGATCTTCTATACCTACTAACCCTGTTTTGAAATATCAGATATTCACTTTACATCTTTTCAATTTTTTATAAATAACATCTATTTAATAAAAAGTTAAGTGATTAGAATTTCCTTATTTCATAATGATTGTATATTTATAGCTAATAATAAGATCATTTAAAACATTGAAACATTGAATTATTCTTCATCTTTGTTTGTTCATTTCAATTTTATTTTTCTTTTTTTTTATCTTAGAAACAAGAATCATTAAATATGAATTTGAATCAGATTTATTCTAATCATTTAATGATACAAGAGAAAATAAATGATTTAATTTATTCTTATGAACAACAATTAAATAATGTATTCATTGATCAAGATAAACAAAATAATATTTATCAAAGAAAATTAAATAAATTAACATATGAACGTCGTCAAATAGATATGCATATTTTATCATTAACGGAAGAAGTGAAACAAAAGGTTTGTTACATATATTATTGACTTTTTTTTTGTTTATTTAATTTCATGATGGTACTAAATAGAGATATGTATCATACAAGTCACTTGATTTTTGGGTGTATGTGTGTGTGTGTGTGTGTGTGTGTGAGCTATGATACTGTCCGGGTTGCCTAACCTCTAAAGTAAGTAGTTTTTTTTAGAGGGTTACAACTGAAGTCTTCAACCTGAAAGTCTAATCCACAAAGGCCCCCAAATGCCCTGGTACGGCCGAGAGTGGGAAGAGTCCACTCTCTCCCTCTCGAAATGCTCTCACATGGCCATGCGTATATAGCCTCTGCTAGGGAAGTCCTACTCACTGCCTTCTCGTGGCGGGGGTGTTGTTCACGAAAATGAGAGGACGAAATGCGAATGTCCGGCGATTTAACCGGATCCCAAACCAATGGTACACATGGGCTCCAGTATCCTGAAGGAACAAATGGTGTATGAACCAATCGTTGGTCACCGGCTAGCTACCATGGGACTGCATCTCCTCACGATGCTCCACTGCCTTGTGGGTCAGACGTTCAGGCCGAAGGCTCGGGGTGTGGCCCCTAAGAAAACCATTTGCTTCGGTTTGGGCACCCGAGCAGTATCACAGCCCTCACACAAATCAATTGAGATTTGTGTGGCGCATATGTACTTGGTGCCTCCCTGTACCTATACTTATGTGTTAAAATAAATAAATAAATAATCCACAAGGCAGTGAAGCAAGGTTGGGAGATGCAATCCAATGGTAGCCGGTGACCAACGATTTGTTCATACGCCACTCGTTCCTTCAGGATATTGGAGCCAGCCCGTGTGCACTATTGATTTGGAATCAGGGTTTTTCAACTTCCGTAGGTGGACTTATCGTGTCCACGAACTCGGTTAAAGCGCTGGTCATTCGCTTTTCGTCCTCTGAATTTCGTAAACAACAGTAATACTACGAGAAAGGAGTGAGTAGGACTTCCCTGGCAGAGGCTATATAGGCATAGCCATGTGAAAGAATTTGGAGAGAGTGAGCGAACTCACCCCACTTTGGGTCGTGTACAAGTTTATGCATCACTAGTTTGATTGATAATTCACTGTTCTTTAATTGATGATATCATTAAGTTATACATTGATATAGGGTCATAAATATATACTTCAAGTCTGAATATATCTATCACAAATCTTGAATATGAGTATCTTATTCAAATCAATAAATAATAATCCTATTGAACAATTCAATTAAGATTACAATTATATGATCTTCTATTAATAAATCAATATATCATTGTTGATCACTTGTAAATTTCTCAAAGATTCATGACCGTAAATGAACTTTGTACCATTTATTTATGTATGATATTGATTAATATATAAAGATATAAATATGAATACATTATAGGGTTATTAAAAACTTATGCGATTACTGTTACTTTTCGATTGATGATTATATTTGATGATCGATTTCTTGTTCTTCTTCAATTCCTAACTGATAATCACAATAATAATCCATGTGTTACGTAGGTTATTCAGTATTATTCAAACATGTTTTTTTTGTATACTTCGACGATGTGGGCGTGGGTTCGAATCCCACCTCCGACACATAATTTTGCCATCAAATGCCGAGAGTGGGGAGATTCCTCTCACCCTCTCGAAATGCTCTCACATGTCCATGTGCATATAGCCTCTGCCATGGAAGTCATACTCACTGCCTTCTCCAGTATCCTGAAGGAACAAATGGTGTATGAACCAATCGTTGGTCACCGGCTGGCTACCATGGGACTGCATCTCCTCACGATGCTCCACTGCCTTGTGGATCAGACCTTCAGGTCAAACGCTCGGAGTTTAGCCCCCTAAGAAAACCACCTGCTTCGATTTGGGCATCCGGGCATTATCACAGCCCTCACACAAACCAAATGAGATTTGTGTGGCGCATATATATTTGGTGCCTGCTTGTACCAATATCTATGTGTTAAAATAAATAAATACATCGACGATCATTATATCTAATTATGTTACACATCATGGCATTTATAGAAGTCTTTAGTATCCCCTTCATTTAGTGTCATTACGCATAATGTAATATCATTTAGATACAGCAGGACTAAGATAATCAATCTACTAGAATATATTTAACATGTGAATATATTTTAGAGAATTGTATAAAACCAATACTTCTCAGCAGTGTGCATGTACAATTCCGCTTCACGAGATTCGAATCCAGGACCTGTCAGTATCACACGCGAACGCTTAATCACTAGACCCACTAAGCTACGCGGCATCCATAAAATTGAGCAACAACACATCCATGCATTTTTACTCTATGTTTTAGTATTTTTATTCTTTATTAAATTTCCTTTTTATTTTTTTTCTTTGTTCTTTCTTCTTTATTTTCATATCACTCTGATCAATCACCAGGATCTACAAAATAATGAATTGAAAACAATCAAAGATCAATTATTATTATCACCAATTCGTTAAATATAAAATGATAGAAACGATTGGTAACTCCATGTCTTCCATGTTATTATTATTATTATTATTACTGTTATTGTTACTATGAGTAGTATTGCATTTCAGTGTTTAATTATGACATGAAATATTATATTGTTATTGGATTATTAGTTGTAATGGGGGGGGGTTCCTTTCTCCCCCCTTTCAAACCTATAAACAATTTGCAAAATGGTAGAGTAAAGATTCTGTTTATTTATTTATTTTTGGCATAGATTTCTATAAAGTGTTTCTATTTTTTTTTAAAAATAAATAAACTAATAAAATGACAATCATGAAGAAGATTTTATGGATCTTCATCGACTGAAATGGTTGGTCCATGTGTTATGTATGCTTGAACATCGATTATCACGACGCGCAATGTTAATCGGTGTTGGGGATGGTTGGAAGAAAGTTAGGGGTGGCCAAACCAAAACGTGGCATCGATCCTTGAAGTCACTAACTTCTGGTCTGAGCCACGTTGGTTGATCCAGACTACTTGGTTAGGGTCTACATCCCTATCGTAACCAATGGTTGGAGACTCTTGGTGACATGACTCAAAATCAATCGCTTCATATCTTTCTTTCTACCAACTAATTCTTTGTTCCTGTACTATCTCCTTATATGCAATCTTTCTTCTATATATATCTACCTTTGAAGTGACTACTTCTATGAATCCGGTGTTCATCTTGCTGTGCTAATGAGGTGTGGCAACTTGTACCGATGCATATACGTGCCTGGTCCCACGTTGCAGCTGACCGACTGACTGGATGCGTACTGCTGAGGAATTCCATACTAGAACGTAACGGTCGACCAGTGCTTTCCAGGTTTTCGATTGTGGTCTAGTTTCAGTTGACTCATGAATTCAACTAATAATTTAATAAAATTGTGTTGCACCTAAACCTTACGGTTATGCTTTTTCAATGACTTACAGGATAGATGGTATAAGATACAGTGTAATTTCCATGAAAGACTTCATTTTAGAGGTCTATCAGCTATATTGCTATGTTGAGCTGAAGGTCTCATTTCGGACTGGAGGTTCACTATTCATACTGACGATGGTTCATCATGATTATTTTGGCAAGTTTTGCTCATTGCTCATACGTAACTATGGTTTGCTGGTTAACCGATTTCATTGATACATTTTGCATTTTATTGGCTACATCTTACAATGTGTTGTAAGTTGTCAGAGAGATATTTGCAAGAGAAATCCCACACAAAATGGATCGGCGAAATCGGTTGAGCCGTTGAAAAGTGTTGGTGAAAAGTGTGTTGAGGAAATCGCTGTCTCGGGCATTTCTATAGGATGTTGACGCGCGAACTTTCTATAGCATATTTTCGGGTCACATTTTCTTCTACAACTTTTCAATGGATTAATATTTATGAATGGGGCGTGCTTTGTGTTACTTATCTAATTGAGTGCTATTCAATGATGTATAATATGTATACGTACATTGAGATTTGTACTTGACGATTTACACGTGCTCTTACTCGCCATGTTATATAGGGGTACTACCCCTAACTCTCGGTCTGAATTGTCGGACAAATGAAAATCTCGCAAATCCAATGACTGTGATGATTTTGGTGGTGGTGGTGGTGTTGCAATAGTATTCCGACAGCAGACAATGGGTTTTAAGCGTTCTTCAAGCCCTAACGCTTCAGGCTGGGCTATTTCGTTTACTACCCTACATATGTGTGGTATACTGTATAAGCTATATTGCTATGTTGAGCTGAAGGTCTCATTTCGGACTGGAGGTTCACTATTCATACTGACGATGGTTCATCATGATTATTTTGGCAAGTTTTGCTCATTGCTCATACGTAACTATGGTTTGCTGGTTAACCGATTTCATTGATACATTTTGCATTTTATTGGCTACATCTTACAATGTGTTGTAAGTTGTCAGAGAGATATTTGCAAGAGAAATCCCACACAAAATGGATCGGCGAAATCGGTTGAGCCGTTGAAAAGTGTTGGTGAAAAGTGTGTTGAGGAAATCGCTGTCTCGGGCATTTCTATAGGATGTTGACGCGCGAACTTTCTATAGCATATTTTCGGGTCACATTTTCTTCTACAACTTTTCAATGGATTAATATTTATGAATGGGGCGTGCTTTGTGTTACTTATCTAATTGAGTGCTATTCAATGATGTATAATATGTATACGTATATTGAGATTTGTACTTGACTATTTACACCTGCTCTTACTCGCCATGTTATATAGGGGTACTACCCCTAACTCTCGGTCTGAATTGTCGGACAAATGAAAATCTCGCAAATCCAATGACTGTGATGATTTTGGTGGTGGTGGTGGTGTTGCAATAGTATTCCGACAGCAGACAATGGGTTTTAAGCGTTCTTCAAGCCCTAACGCTTCAGGCTGGGCTATTTCGTTTACTACCCTACATATGTGTGGTATACTGTATAAGCTATATTGCTATGTTGAGCTGAAGGTCTCATTTCGGACTGGAGGTTCACTATTCATACTGACGATGGTTCATCATGATTATTTTGGCAAGTTTTTCTCATTGCTCATACGTAACTATGGTTTGCTGGTTAACCGATTTCATTGATACATTTTGCATTTTATTGGCTACATCTTACAATGTGTTGTAAGTTGTCAGAGAGATATTTGCAAGAGAAATCCCACACAAAATGGATCGGCGAAATCGGTTGAGCCGTTGAAAAGTGTTGGTGAAAAGTGTGTTGAGGAAATCGCTGTCTCGGGCATTTCTATAGGATGTTGACGCGCGAACTTTCTATAGCATATTTTCGGGTCACATTTTCTTCTACAACTTTTCAATGGATTAATATTTATGAATGGGGCGTGCTTTGTGTTACTTATCTAATTGAGTGCTATTCAATGATGTATAATATGTATACGTATATTGAGATTTGTACTTGACTATTTACACCTGCTCTTACTCGCCATGTTATATAGGGGTACTACCCCTAACTCTCGGTCTGAATTGTCGGACAAATGAAAATCTCGCAAATCCAATGACTGTGATGATTTTGGTGGTGGTGGTGGTGTTGCAATAGTATTCCGACAGCAGACAATGGGTTTTAAGCGTTCTTCAAGCCCTAACGCTTCAGGCTGGGCTATTTCGTTTACTACCCTACATATGTGTGGTATACTGTATAAGCTATATTGCTATGTTGAGCTGAAGGTCTCATTTCGGACTGGAGGTTCACTATTCATACTGACGATGGTTCATCATGATTATTTTGGCAAGTTTTTCTCATTGCTCATACGTAACTATGGTTTGCTGGTTAACCGATTTCATTGATACATTTTGCATTTTATTGGCTACATCTTACAATGTGTTGTAAGTTGTCAGAGAGATATTTGCAAGAGAAATCCCACACAAAATGGATCGGCGAAATCGGTTGAGCCGTTGAAAAGTGTTGGTGAAAAGTGTGTTGAGGAAATCGCTGTCTCGGGCATTTCTATAGGATGTTGACGCGCGAACTTTCTATAGCATATTTTCGGGTCACATTTTCTTCTACAACTTTTCAATGGATTAATATTTATGAATGGGGCGTGCTTTGTGTTACTTATCTAATTGAGTGCTATTCAATGATGTATAATATGTATACGTACATTGAGATTTGTACTTGACGATTTACACGTGCTCTTACTCGCCATGTTATATAGGGGTACTACCCCTAACTCTCGGTCTGAATTGTCGGACAAATGAAAATCTCGCAAATCCAATGACTGTGATGATTTTGGTGGTGGTGTTGGTGGTGGTGGTGTTGCAATAGTATTCCGACAGCAGACAATGGGTTTTAAGCGTTCTTCAAGCCCTAACGCTTCAGGCTGGGCTATTTCGTTTACTACCCTACATATGTGTGGTATACTGTATAAGCTATATTGCTATGTTGAGCTGAAGGTCTCATTTCGGACTGGAGGTTCACTATTCATACTGACGATGGTTCATCATGATTATTTTGGCAAGTTTTTCTCATTGCTCATACGTAACTATGGTTTGCTGGTTAACCGATTTCATTGATACATTTTGCATTTTATTGGCTACATCTTACAATGTGTTGTAAGTTGTCAGAGAGATATTTGCAAGAGAAATCCCACACAAAATGGATCGGCGAAATCGGTTGAGCCGTTGAAAAGTGTTGGTGAAAAGTGTGTTGAGGAAATCGCTGTCTCGGGCATTTCTATAGGATGTTGACGCGCGAACTTTCTATAGCATATTTTCGGGTCACATTTTCTTCTACAACTTTTCAATGGATTAATATTTATGAATGGGGCGTGCTTTGTGTTACTTATCTAATTGAGTGCTATTCAATGATGTATAATATGTATACGTACATTGAGATTTGTACTTGACGATTTACACGTGCTCTTACTCGCCATGTTATATAGGGGTACTACCCCTAACTCTCGGTCTGAATTGTCGGACAAATGAAAATCTCGCAAATCCAATGACTGTGATGATTTTGGTGGTGGTGGTGGTGTTGCAATAGTATTCCGACAGCAGACAATGGGTTTTAAGCGTTCTTCAAGCCCTAACGCTTCAGGCTGGGCTATTTCGTTTACTACCCTACATATGTGTGGTATACTGTATAAGCTATATTGCTATGTTGAGCTGAAGGTCTCATTTCGGACTGGAGGTTCACTATTCATACTGACGATGGTTCATCATGATTATTTTGGCAAGTTTTGCTCATTGCTCATACGTAACTATGGTTTGCTGGTTAACCGATTTCATTGATACATTTTGCATTTTATTGGCTACATCTTACAATGTGTTGTAAGTTGTCAGAGAGATATTTGCAAGAGAAATCCCACACAAAATGGATCGGCGAAATCGGTTGAGCCGTTGAAAAGTGTTGGTGAAAAGTGTGTTGAGGAAATCGCTGTCTCGGGCATTTCTATAGGATGTTGACGCGCGAACTTTCTATAGCATATTTTCGGGTCACATTTTCTTCTACAACTTTTCAATGGATTAATATTTATGAATGGGGCGTGCTTTGTGTTACTTATCTAATTGAGTGCTATTCAATGATGTATAATATGTATACGTATATTGAGATTTGTACTTGACTATTTACACCTGCTCTTACTCGCCATGTTATATAGGGGTACTACCCCTAACTCTCGGTCTGAATTGTCGGACAAATGAAAATCTCGCAAATCCAATGACTGTGATGATTTTGGTGGTGGTGGTGGTGTTGCAATAGTATTCCGACAGCAGACAATGGGTTTTAAGCGTTCTTCAAGCCCTAACGCTTCAGGCTGGGCTATTTCGTTTACTACCCTACATATGTGTGGTATACTGTATAAGCTATATTGCTATGTTGAGCTGAAGGTCTCATTTCGGACTGGAGGTTCACTATTCATACTGACGATGGTTCATCATGATTATTTTGGCAAGTTTTTCTCATTGCTCATACGTAACTATGGTTTGCTGGTTAACCGATTTCATTGATACATTTTGCATTTTATTGGCTACATCTTACAATGTGTTGTAAGTTGTCAGAGAGATATTTGCAAGAGAAATCCCACACAAAATGGATCGGCGAAATCGGTTGAGCCGTTGAAAAGTGTTGGTGAAAAGTGTGTTGAGGAAATCGCTGTCTCGGGCATTTCTATAGGATGTTGACGCGCGAACTTTCTATAGCATATTTTCGGGTCACATTTTCTTCTACAACTTTTCAATGGATTAATATTTATGAATGGGGCGTGCTTTGTGTTACTTATCTAATTGAGTGCTATTCAATGATGTATAATATGTATACGTATATTGAGATTTGTACTTGACTATTTACACCTGCTCTTACTCGCCATGTTATATAGGGGTACTACCCCTAACTCTCGGTCTGAATTGTCGGACAAATGAAAATCTCGCAAATCCAATGACTGTGATGATTTTGGTGGTGGTGGTGGTGTTGCAATAGTATTCCGACAGCAGACAATGGGTTTTAAGCGTTCTTCAAGCCCTAACGCTTCAGGCTGGGCTATTTCGTTTACTACCCTACATATGTGTGGTATACTGTATAAGCTATATTGCTATGTTGAGCTGAAGGTCTCATTTCGGACTGGAGGTTCACTATTCATACTGACGATGGTTCATCATGATTATTTTGGCAAGTTTTGCTCATTGCTCATACGTAACTATGGTTTGCTGGTTAACCGATTTCATTGATACATTTTGCATTTTATTGGCTACATCTTACAATGTGTTGTAAGTTGTCAGAGAGATATTTGCAAGAGAAATCCCACACAAAATGGATCGGCGAAATCGGTTGAGCCGTTGAAAAGTGTTGGTGAAAAGTGTGTTGAGGAAATCGCTGTCTCGGGCATTTCTATAGGATGTTGACGCGCGAACTTTCTATAGCATATTTTCGGGTCACATTTTCTTCTACAACTTTTCAATGGATTAATATTTATGAATGGGGCGTGCTTTGTGTTACTTATCTAATTGAGTGCTATTCAATGATGTATAATATGTATACGTATATTGAGATTTGTACTTGACTATTTACACGTGCTCTTACTCGCCATGTTATATAGGGGTACTACCCCTAACTCTCGGTCTGAATTGTCGGACAAATGAAAATCTCGCAAATCCAATGACTGTGATGATTTTGGTGGTGGTGTTGGTGGTGGTGGTGTTGCAATAGTATTCCGACAGCAGACAATGGGTTTTAAGCGTTCTTCAAGCCCTAACGCTTCAGGCTGGGCTATTTCGTTTACTACCCTACATATGTGTGGTATACTGTATAAGCTATATTGCTATGTTGAGCTGAAGGTCTCATTTCGGACTGGAGGTTCACTATTCATACTGACGATGGTTCATCATGATTATTTTGGCAAGTTTTGCTCATTGCTCATACGTAACTATGGTTTGCTGGTTAACCGATTTCATTGATACATTTTGCATTTTATTGGCTACATCTTACAATGTGTTGTAAGTTGTCAGAGAGATATTTGCAAGAGAAATCCCACACAAAATGGATCGGCGAAATCGGTTGAGCCGTTGAAAAGTGTTGGTGAAAAGTGTGTTGAGGAAATCGCTGTCTCGGGCATTTCTATAGGATGTTGACGCGCGAACTTTCTATAGCATATTTTCGGGTCACATTTTCTTCTACAACTTTTCAATGGATTAATATTTATGAATGGGGCGTGCTTTGTGTTACTTATCTAATTGAGTGCTATTCAATGATGTATAATATGTATACGTATATTGAGATTTGTACTTGACTATTTACACCTGCTCTTACTCGCCATGTTATATAGGGGTACTACCCCTAACTCTCGGTCTGAATTGTCGGACAAATGAAAATCTCGCAAATCCAATGACTGTGATGATTTTGGTGGTGGTGTTGGTGGTGGTGTTGCAATAGTATTCCGACAGCAGACAATGGGTTTTAAGCGTTCTTCAAGCCCTAACGCTTCAGGCTGGGCTATTTCGTTTACTACCCTACATATGTGTGGTATACTGTATAAGCTATATTGCTATGTTGAGCTGAAGGTCTCATTTCGGACTGGAGGTTCACTATTCATACTGACGATGGTTCATCATGATTATTTTGGCAAGTTTTGCTCATTGCTCATACGTAACTATGGTTTGCTGGTTAACCGATTTCATTGATACATTTTGCATTTTATTGGCTACATCTTACAATGTGTTGTAAGTTGTCAGAGAGATATTTGCAAGAGAAATCCCACACAAAATGGATCGGCGAAATCGGTTGAGCCGTTGAAAAGTGTTGGTGAAAAGTGTGTTGAGGAAATCGCTGTCTCGGGCATTTCTATAGGATGTTGACGCGCGAACTTTCTATAGCATATTTTCGGGTCACATTTTCTTCTACAACTTTTCAATGGATTAATATTTATGAATGGGGCGTGCTTTGTGTTACTTATCTAATTGAGTGCTATTCAATGATGTATAATATGTATACGTATATTGAGATTTGTACTTGACTATTTACACCTGCTCTTACTCGCCATGTTATATAGGGGTACTACCCCTAACTCTCGGTCTGAATTGTCGGACAAATGAAAATCTCGCAAATCCAATGACTGTGATGATTTTGGTGGTGGTGGTGTTGCAATAGTATTCCGACAGCAGACAATGGGTTTTAAGCGTTCTTCAAGCCCTAACGCTTCAGGCTGGGCTATTTCGTTTACTACCCTACATATGTGTGGTATACTGTATAAGCTATATTGCTATGTTGAGCTGAAGGTCTCATTTCGGACTGGAGGTTCACTATTCATACTGACGATGGTTCATCATGATTATTTTGGCAAGTTTTGCTCATTGCTCATACGTAACTATGGTTTGCTGGTTAACCGATTTCATTGATACATTTTGCATTTTATTGGCTACATCTTACAATGTGTTGTAAGTTGTCAGAGAGATATTTGCAAGAGAAATCCCACACAAAATGGATCGGCGAAATCGGTTGAGCCGTTGAAAAGTGTTGGTGAAAAGTGTGTTGAGGAAATCGCTGTCTCGGGCATTTCTATAGGATGTTGACGCGCGAACTTTCTATAGCATATTTTTCGGGTCACATTTTCTTCTACAACTTTTCAATGGATTAATATTTATGAATGGGGCGTGCTTTGTGTTACTTATCTAATTGAGTGCTATTCAATGATGTATAATATGTATACGTATATTGAGATTTGTACTTGACTATTTACACCTGCTCTTACTCGCCATGTTATATAGGGGTACTACCCCTAACTCTCGGTCTGAATTGTCGGACAAATGAAAATCTCGCAAATCCAATGACTGTGATGATTTTGGTGGTGGTGTTGGTGGTGGTGGTGTTGCAATAGTATTCCGACAGCAGACAATGGGTTTTAAGCGTTCTTCAAGCCCTAACGCTTCAGGCTGGGCTATTTCGTTTACTACCCTACATATGTGTGGTATACTGTATAAGCTATATTGCTATGTTGAGCTGAAGGTCTCATTTCGGACTGGAGGTTCACTATTCATACTGACGATGGTTCATCATGATTATTTTGGCAAGTTTTGCTCATTGCTCATACGTAACTATGGTTTGCTGGTTAACCGATTTCATTGATACATTTTGCATTTTATTGGCTACATCTTACAATGTGTTGTAAGTTGTCAGAGAGATATTTGCAAGAGAAATCCCACACAAAATGGATCGGCGAAATCGGTTGAGCCGTTGAAAAGTGTTGGTGAAAAGTGTGTTGAGGAAATCGCTGTCTCGGGCATTTCTATAGGATTTTGACGCGCGAACTTTCTATAGCATATTTTCGGGTCACATTTCCTTCTACAACTTTTCAATGGATTAATATTTATGAATGGGGCGTGCTTTGTGTTACTTATCTAATTGAGTGCTATTCAATTGTGTATAATATGTATACGTATATTGAGATTTGTACTTGACTATTTACACCTGCTCTTACTCGCCATGTTATATAGGGGTACTACCCCTAACTCTCGGTCTGAATTGTCGGACAAATGAAAATCTCGCAAATCCAATGACTGTGAGGATTTTGGTGGTGGTGTTGGTGGTGGTGGTGTTGCAATAGTATTCCGACAACAGACAATGGGTTTTAAGCGTTCTTCAAGCCCTAACGCTTCAGGCTGGGCTATTTCGTTTACTACCCTACATATGTGTGGTATACTGTATAAGCTATATTGCTATGTTGAGCTGAAGGTCTCATTTCGGACTGGAGGTTCACTATTCATACTGACGATGGTTCATCATGATTATTTTGGCAAGTTTTTCTCATTGCTCATACGTTTCCACGAGAATCAGACATCGCTTAGGCTTAAGTGTTATAAACCAAACAGTTCAAGCTCAATTCCGTTACACAAGGGAACCAGATACTGAATAGTACAATTCAATCTTGTGACGCAATTATACAAGTATCAATCACCCTAATTATAAACATAAATCAAATTCATATTAAAACATTTATTACAAATAAGAAACAACAACAAGAACAACAACAATAACAACAATAATAGACATCATTACAAACTATATACAGGATTATTTATATCGATTTTTTTAATCTCCATATATCTGATGCAAATTGAAATGAATCTATATTCCATTCATGATTAGTTTGTAATGAATTCAATAAAGGATACCATAATTCATTGACATAATTTATAGTTAATTGTAAAAATTCATAATCTATTATTATTATTATTATTATAATGATAAAGAAAACAACAGAGATAACAACAAAAGGATAATAATAAAGGTACAATTCATTTAAATAATAATTAGACAATATTAATATTATAGTGTAGAATTATGGTCTATTATGATATGAGCACTGCTCTAATAGCAGACCTAATCTTAAAATTTTGAGATTTATCATAATGTAACTGCCTAATCTATAAGATCTTACGTGGAAGTTACATCATTGTCTACACCAATTCATTGCATTGTAACAATTACCAAATACGTGATAGAGAACAA